TTTTTTTTTGAGCAAGAGAGAGAGAAAGAGAGAGAGAGAGAGAGAGAGAGAGAGAGAGAGAGAGAGAAACATCAATTTGTTGTCCCACTTACTTACATATACATTGGTTGAGTCTTGTATGTGCCCTGACCAGAGATCAAACCCACAATCTTGGTATATCAGGACAATGCTTTAACCAACTGAGATACCTGGCTAAGGCTAAAATTAATGTTTAAAATATCCAATTGAGCCCAGCTGGTGTGGCTCAGTGGTTGAGCATCGACCTATGAACCAGAAGGTCACGGTTCAATTCCAGGTCAGGGCACATGCTCAAGTTGTGGGCATGATCCCCAGTGGGAGATATGCAGAAGGCAGCCAATCAAAGCTTGTCTCTCATCACTGATGTTTCTATTTCCATTTCCCTTCCTCTCTAAAATTGATAAAAACATATATATTATAAAAAAAAAAACTATATATTAAAGCTTAAGCGACCATTATGACTGATCAACGGAATGACTAGTTGGTTGCTATGACAACACACTGATCAGCAGGGGGCAGATGCTCAACGCCGGACCTGCCCCCTGGTGGTCAGTGCATTCCCACAGCCAACCTCCTGTGGCCGGACAACCTCCTGTGGTTGTTTCCTAAACAAGGTGATGATTAAAAATAATATCTGAAATATATTGATTTCCCACATACCAGGTACTGTGCGAAGACTGTTTCATTTACCTTGAGATATGTAATGTTTTTATTCTACTTTACAAAGAAACCGAAGTTAATTATTTGCTTACGTAACTGGCAGAGGGAAGGACCAATCTCCAGAGCAAGATTTAACAAGAACAAGCCTGGTTTATTTGGAAGCAGAAGCCCTCTAGACTTCATATTTGCTTTTATTTTTTTAAATATATATTTTTATTTATTTCAGAGAGGAAGGAGAAGAGGATGGGGGAAAGGGGAGGGAGAGTGGAAGGGATAAAGAGGGAGAGGGGGAGCGATAGAGAGGAGAGGGGGAGGGATGGAGAAGAGAGGGGGGAGGGATAGAGAGGAGAAGGGGAGGGATAGAGAAGAGAAGGGGAGGGATAGAAAGGAGAGGGGGGAGGGATAGAGAGAAGAGGGGGAGGGATAGAGAGGAGAAGGGGAGGAGGGAAGAGAGCAAGAGCGAGAGGGAGAAGAGAATTATTAATTGGCTGCCTATACCACACATCGGGGATCGAGCCCAAACCCAGGCATGTGCCATGATCAGGAATAGAACAATGACCTCTTGTTCATAGATGGATGCTCAACCCCTGAGCCACATTGGTCAGGCTTCATATTTACTTTTAATTTTTTCTGCATTTTTATTTAATATGTGTGTGCATTTCTTTTTTTGGCAGGATGTCAAGTTTTCATGCTGTCATTAAGCAGAGTTCTCAAAATCAGAGAACAATATAATAGGTGTCAAGCCTTCTCACATTTTGAATAGAGATGCCAAGCTTTCTATGCAGGAAATGCCAAGAGGAATTCCAACAGGATAAGCCTCCTGGCAGTTACACAAGAGAAGACAAAGAATTAAATGGAGTTTGATGAGGCTGATGGTGAAAATATCTTCGTAGAGTTGTGAAGGTGCTCTGACATTTCCCCTCCTTGTGGAGAAGGGAGGATGTATTAGTTACCTATTGCAGCATAATAAATTACCCTACCATTAGGACACTTCAAACAGTCAGCATCTATTATCTCATACAGTTCCTGTAGATCAGGAATTTGGGATCAGTTTGGCTGAATGGTGCTGACTCAGAGTTTCTCATAAAGTTACCGATGAGATGTCATTTGCTTAATCACATGCACACATTCTTGCGTAAAAGGCTAGAAAAAAAGAAGTGAGTAACTGTCGTTTTCATTTTCTGTAAGCAGTGCTCACCACCACCAAGGCACATAGCGGGGAATTCCTCCAACCCAGAAAGAGAATTCAAATGATGAACAGCAGTAAGTAAAACCACAAAAATGTCAAAGAAGTCATCCTTTTAGCTGCCCAACACCAATATAACCACCGCTTTCAATGTTTATATGTCAAAAAAAAAGTTGTCACTTAGAATACTGCAACTATCCTTCATAAAACCAAAGGCGTACTCACTGTCACCCTCTGAGGAAGTCAATCCAATGTTTCGTCAGTTACCACATCGGTCCATCCATTTCTAAGTTTAGAACCTCACAGTGATATCCATTCCTCTATAACTTATGGACTAAATAACGAAATTTACCAACAATAGTCCACCCTACTAACAAAAGCGAAGTAAAAGGTAAAGAAAGAAAATAAAAGTTGAGAGGGGCAGGGAAGAGGAAGGGGGAGATAAAAATAAATAAATAAATAAATAAATAAATAAATAAATAAATGTTAAAACATATAAAAGTATACATGATCTATAATATATTGCATTATCTATAATAATAAAAGCATAATATGCTAATTAGACCAGACAGCCGCACAACCTTCCAGATGTCATTCCGGACGCAGCCAGAGCTGCAAGACCCAGGCAAGCCACCGCAGCTGCAAGGGCCTAGCCCCTTGCACAAATTTTGTGCAACGGGCCTCTAGTACATTGACAAAAGAAATACAAGTAGAGATGACAGCTCTCATTTGTTTCTCTGATCATGAGGATTTTACCTCCATTCTGACTTCCTTGCTTTTCCAGCCATTTTGTGTTCCCTTTACCTTCATCTAATACCTTCATTTCTAAAGAATCTGCGTGTCTGATTTCTAAGGAATCTGAGTGTTTATGTATACCAGCAAACCTATTTCTGCTTGGTTACCAGGGTTAATCACTCCCACCAATACCATAACCTTGTTCTTCTCCTTCTCTTGACTATCCAGTGACACAAGACATGCAAAATAGATAGCATTCTCAGCTCCAAATCAATGGAACCACTGTTCAGCCTTTCTTTAGGATATATATGTTCCACAGTCCCTCCTGCCATAAGATCTTTGCTCAGACCATTCCCTCTCCTTGCCTAGTTAACGCCATCCTCAGATCGTGACTCAAGGATCATTATCTGTCTTATAACCATCCTTCTTCACTGTAATTATCTCCATATTCATTTATATGTTTAATGCCCATCGTACCCAGGATTCTAAGTTCTATGACTATGTGCACTTAACACCAATTCCCTGTGCCTGATACTTACTAGGTGCTAAATAATATTTGAATAAATGAATAAATAAATGTGTCTGTAATAAAATGCAGTACAGGCAATTTTCCTACAAGTTATCACTGCCAGTTTTGCTTACAAAGCTTTCTGCCTTTTGTTTCTACTCTTCTAATTTGCATTTCTTTATTAACTTAAAAAGGCATTTGTCTAGACAAGAACTTTCCTAAGCATTATATCTATCCTAGCACTATACAAAAAGGTGAATACATATGAAACTTCAAATATACTAATAGCCACGTTATAAAAAGTAAAAAAATAAGAATCTTTATTTTATTTGACCCAATATATCCAAAACATTATCACTTCCACATGTAACCAGGATGAAAATTATTGAAATACTTTGCATCCTTTTCTTTGCACTAAGTTTCTGAAATGTGGTGGGCATTTTAGTTACATATCCCAATTCGAGCGGGCCATGTTTCAAGTGCGCGCTGGCCACACATACCTCCTGGATGCTATACTGGGGGCAGGGTGGTTCCAAAGGATTCACTTTCACCAGAGTCTCGTGTCTTTAGCACCTAGACGTGTCAAACCTTCACCCACAAGGGCTTCTCAGGATGAGGTGATTTAAACCAGGTTCTAGAGCGAGCTTAACTCCTTCAGCGCCTGCAACTTAAGAAGTTGTCCCAGGCCAACCGACTGAGGGGGTCCCTGTCAGGTCAAGGGCATGTACCTTGGTTGTGGGCACATCCCCAGTGGGGGGTGTGCAGGAGGCAGCTGATCGATGATTCTCTCATCGATGTTTCTAACTCTCTATCCCTCTCTCTTCCTCTCTGTAAAAAAAAAAAAAAAAAAAAAAAAAAAAAAAAAAAAAAAAAAAAAATCAGTAAAATGTATTTTTTAAAAATAATAAATTGTCCAGGAGAACATGTGTAGGCAGCGTGTATTTTTTCAGCTTCCTACTACCCTGTTTCCCCGAAAATAAGACAGTGTCTTATATTAATTTTTGCTCCCAAAGATGCGCTAGGTCTCATTTTCAGGGGGTGTCTTATTTTTCCATGAAGAAGAATACGGTACACATTTATTGTGAAATGAAAATAAAGGAAATTTATTACCTGTATACGGTACGGTACTATGGTAGTTGTCAACACAAACCAGACAAACTGTGAATCCTACAGTATCAAGAATTGACTCAGTTATTCAATGACAATCATGTCATCATCTTCTGGAACATCATCCTAACAATCCAATTCCTGAATCTCCTGGTGAATTTCTTGTGACTCCATTTCTTTCAGAATCAGTGGACCAAATCTCTCATGTTTAGCCTAAGGGTGTGACACCTTATTTTCGAGAGGATGCCCTATATTTCACTCAGAAGGAAACCTGTAAGTAGGCCTTATTTTGGGAGGATGTCTTATTTTCGGGGAAACACGGTATCCTTTTATCTTGTAAACAAATACTTGGCTCCTTCAGAAGATGGGGGCCGCCTCCTTTGCAGTCTCCTCCTTTCAAACCAGTTTAGGGGGTGTCATGGCAAATCTGTGGGTTCCCTTGGCTACCTAGGAAAACTGGGGGGAGGTGGGGACGGTTTCTGTCCAAGCCGCCCATGGCCGGCATTAATTCTCTCAGCGCTGCCCTCACGCCGCTGAGGCCTCTGGAGGTGGCACCGGGGAGAGAACACGCCGATGGGAGAGGCGCACACAACCGGGTTGGATGCTCCCTCGGCTCAGCTCCCTCCGGCATGTCACTCGCGCGACACCTTTCCGGTACGTCTACCCGCCCACAGGGCCGCCGGCCGCGGCCACAGAGAGCCCAACCGCCGGCCGGAGGGGAAGAGGCGCGACTTCCGCCTGGACCGCGCCACTTCCGGAAGTGACGTAGGAGTGTCAACATGCAAGATGGCGGCCCATCACCGGCAGAACACGGCCGGGCGGAGGAAAGTGCAGGTATGGGAGCCCGGCTCCTCGACCTCCCGGACGCGGCTGCCAGCCCGGCCCTCCTCCGGCGAGCGGATGCCTCGGGCCGCGATCGGCCGGGGTAGCGGCTCGGGGCGCGTGGGATGGGGCGCGGCCGGTCGCGAGGGGTGGGGCCGCGGCGCTAACGGCTTCTGGAGGGGGCGGGGGGCTGCAGCCCACCCGGCCGGCCCGCGCCCCGTCCCGGGACCCTCTGGTGCTCCGCTCGCAGCCCGGGGTTGCCGATCACCCGCTTTCTCGGGGGATCGGTCTTGCGAGGTCGGGAGACGCTTGTTCTCCGCCCACCTGCCTCCCGGTCCCTAAGCGCGCTGCCCTCGGGCCGCGTCGGAGCGGAGGCCTCCGGGCGCTTCCCCGCCGGTTGGCGGCCGCGGTGCGAGGGGGCCTGTGCGGGGGGCGTGGCGGGGCAGAGGCCGTTCTGCGCGGTGATTGCGGGGGCTTTTGCACGGGAGAGCCCCCTGCGGTCTTTGATGCCGGAGCCTTTTTGCCTGATGGGGTGGAAACGACGAGGGAGTCGGCTGGTGTTAGTGGGAAAATAGGATTTTTTTTTTTTTTTTTTACTGTTTTGGAATTTAATTTCGCCTTCATCTGCACTGTGCATCCTTGAATTTTCTGTTTCTATCATCTGTTAGCCCAGGGTAAAGAGTTACCTTATCCTTCCGGTGTGCTTTCTGCCTTCGTGAACCTACTTTTGTTTTGTGGGTGCGTTTGAGAGTTCCTGTTAGCTGTTTCCAGCGATGCAGGGAGTAAAGCCTTACTACAGGTGTTTGCTGCAGGTATGTCTAATGTAGAAGTGAGGGTATGGCGCCCTTATTCGTTAAACATTACTGAGCACTTAGTTTGCAACTCATTAAACACGTCTGAATGCAAAGAATGGAGAGAGAGTATAGGAATAAGTAACACCCGGACTTTCTTTATAAAGCAGCATGCTCTGTAGGATGAAATCAGTGAGTGTTCCTTCAGAGAGGTAAGCCATAAAGTCCTCTGGGCAGTTCACTTCCCTGTTTTATTGATCTCATTGATGAGAACAGTGTCCAGGCATTCAGTAGATGTTGAGTGAAGTGAAAAACGGATCGGTTGCCTCCAGTACGTGCCCCATCCCACCGGGAATCAGACCACATCTTACGTGGGTGCCCTACTGGGGAACCAAACCGCAAATCTTTTTGTGTATGGGACCACACGCCAACCCACTGAGCCACCTGGCCAGGGCTGTTAGGTGATTTTTAAGGATATCATTGACAGAATTTAAGTAACCCAGCATGCAAACCAGGTGGGGAGAATGTCTGCTTCTGAGTATAATGTAACTCAAAATGGTAACAGTATTCCAGACACTAGAATGGTACACTCCTTAGGGTAGTAAGGAGAGCTAATCAGGCCACTCCAAGTCTTGTGTTTAGACTTGAAGGCAATATAAAAGTATAAGATGGGCAAATATAAATCTGCAGCATGTGTGGAAAACTGAGTGTTTTAATAAGCTGAGTATGAGCTACTGCATATAGAATGAGAGGTGATAATTCCACTCTCGCTGATCAGAGTACAGAATTAGAGTTTGAGATATGACAATCAGATTAATAAAGTGACTTGAAACTATTTCCTATGAAGAGCACTCAAAAGAACTAAGACTAGTCTGCTGAACACAAGATTTAGTGAGTCTTGTTAGCTGCTTTCAGAATTTTTCCCCAAGGTCTACAACCAATATAAAAAACCACAGAGATTGATTTTATCTCAACATGAGGGAGAACTTTTGTTTATGGAGTGTTTTTGAAACTAGAGCATGTTCACTGCAAAAACGAAGGTGGTGTCCTATGCATTTATTGCAAGTTTTGCATCTTCCTGGCTTCTTCCCGGTAGATGTTAGTGCCTTCCCGATTGTGACAACCAAAAATGATTCTAAACATTTTCAAATGACCCTTGGAAGGCAAAATTGTTCTGTAACTCTTCATGCACATATACCCGACTTGCATGATCAGACAATCAAACATGTGATTTCAGATATATAATGCAGTTATTTTCTGGTAATCAAGATGTCAAAGCAAGTCTTCACTCCCTGGTAGTCCCTTAGTGTTACAATTTTCCAACAACTGAGTCTATTGGTTGGCTCTGTCTCCATCCTTCCTTCAATTAGGGCCTCTTCTCCCATTTGCTTCAGAATTTTTTTTTTGGGGGGGGAGGAATTGGACAAAAGTCTAACTAATATTCCTAGTTTAAGAGCAGCAACTATGCCGTCATACTCAGTGATTGTTCAATAATGGCCTTTCATAACAATTATTTTGATTGGAAATGACTCCAACTCAACCAGGCTCCATAGGCAGTGCTAGTTCCATGCAAATCTTGAACCAGAGAGCTCACTGTGACTCTCTCCCCTAAGAAGTGATATAAAGTCAGCTTTACCACGGGATTGTCCTCTCCTATTCCCAAACTTCCAGCTCTAGGCGGCTCCCCTCTTGGTGGCATGGTGGCTGCATCTAACCCAGACCTCCTCTCCTTTCACCACACTATAGGCTGGCAGATGAGAGTCCCTTAAATAGTCCCTGTATAGTTTCTCCTAGAATTTCCTTGCCTTGAAGAAAAAACATTGGGAGCCAATGGAGAGGAATGGAGAGACAGCCAACAAATGTCCATTCCACCAGTACTTAACCCTTTTCCCTGCTAAATAGTTATTCTATACCTATTCAGAGCTCAGTATGGTGTTTAGTCCTCATTTTGAGTCCCAATTCTGGGTTGATTAATCTTTGATACTTTTTAAAGGAAGTAGAATGATGCCAAATCCTGACTCCTCAAGAAAAGACCCTTACAAAGTAGCCATATCTGAGTTACGTTTTATGTAGGATGGGTAATTAAAACTGTGGTTTCACCCTGACTGGTTTGGCTCAGTGGATAATGCGTTGGCCTGCAGACTAAAGGGATCCAAGATTCCGGTCAAGGGCACATGCCTGGGCTTCAAGCTCTATCCCCAGTTCGGGGCATGCAGGAGGCGGCCAATTAGTGATTATCGTCATTGATGTTTCTATCTCTCTCTCCCTCCCCTTTCCTCTCTGAAATTAATAAAAATATATTTAAACAAACAAAAACCCTGCAGTGTCAGTTTAGAACAGGGGTCTGCAAAATTTCTCCAAAGGTCCAGATGGTAAAGATTTTACACTTTGGAGCCATTCTGTGTCATAACCAGACCTCTGCCATAGAAAAATACCTAAATGCCTAGGTGTGACTGTGTTCCAGTAAAACTTTGTTTACTAAACAGGGTTTGGCCCGAGGGCATTTTTTACTAACCACTGAGTAGGAAAAATCCGGCAAGACTGCTTTTCAGAATGCTTTTTTATAATAATTAACACTAAAAATACAGGTTCGAGCAGAGGGTCATGGTCCACAGGATTTAGCAGGAAAAACAGATGTGAGAATTATTGATATTTAGGCAGTTTTTCTTGACCAAATTGAGCCTGAGTTAGCTTGATAGCTAGAAGTAGCCTTACATAAAAGAGCTGTGTGATTCCATTTATAGGATATTATAGAACAGACAAAGCTAATCAATTTATGGAGAAAACATCAGATCTAGATTGGGAGTTGGGGAGTAGAGGTTGGGGACGAGGATGAGGCAACTTGCTAGGATGGTACAATGTTCAGAGTCTCTGAGTAGGTATATTCATTTGTCAGAAGTATCTGTGTACACTTAGGTCTGTGCATTTTACTCTAAGTAAAATTTATTTTTAAAAAGGAGCCATGAATAAATAATGAACTCTAGTTAACGACATACATGCTGAAGTATTTAGGGGGAAGTGTTATTGATATGTGCAACTTTCCTTGAAAGGCATTGAAAAATAACACAGATCAAATGAATAGGTGGCTATGAGATAAAGTAACTATAGGAAATGTTCATTGTAGACCAGATCTATGTGGCAGGTATATGAATCGTTGCTGTGTAATTCTTTCGACTTTTGTGTTTAACTTTTTCCTAATAAAAGGCTGAGAGGAAATAAGTTTTTAAAGGTTAATCAATAGTTAGCTAGTGATAAGCAGCAGAAGATGAGGAAGTGACATTTCAGTTGCAGTGGCCAGAGAATGCCTTGCTGAGAGGCTGGTTTCTGAGTAAGGATCCAAAAGAATTGAGGAAATGAGGTTGCCAAGGAAGGGGCGGGCATGCCAGTGAGAATATCAGATGCAAAGGTCCCGAGGTGGGATGAGGATACCTTGGTGGCTGGCCGGGAGGGAGTGAGGGGAGGAGGAGCAGGAGATGAAATCAGAGCGGTAACTGCAGACCGGACCACGCAAAGCACCAGGGCCTAGTGAGGTCTAGAACGCAATGGGACGTATAGGTGGGTTTTGAGCAGAGGAATATACAGGATATACATGTGTTAATAAGATTGGCCTGGCTTCTGTGCTCAGAACAGACTGCAGGGCACAGGGCAGAGTGGGAAGGCCAGATGCTGTGTGATAAAGCCCACCAGGCTCGTGAGAAGTGCTTGAAATTAAAGTAAGGATGGCACCGAGATTGTGCACCTGAGCAACTGGGAAAATGGAGTCACCATGAACTCCATTCATGAGGAAGACTATAGGAAAAGCTATTTTGGGGAGGACTCTCAAGAGCTGGGTGTGGAGCATGCCATGATTAAAATGTGTGTGAGGTGCCCAAGGGAGATGAGTGAATGCACACACACCTCAGGGGAGCCTGGGAAGAGCCCGGAGTATCCCCTTTGGGAACCTCCCCTCTTTTCTTAAAAGTGTTGTGAATTTTGTGCTTATTCCATAATATATCCACATGTGTTTTCACATAAAGTGTTTCGTTGCTGTCGTAGGCAGAATGCCTCACCACCAAATGTCCTAAACCCTGGAACCTGTGAATATGTTACGTTACTTGATAAAAAGGACTTTTCAGATATAATTAAGGTTACAGACCTTAAAATAGAGGGTTATCCTGGGTTACCCAAGTGGGTCCAATCTAACCATAGTAGCCCTAAAAAACAGAACTTTCTGCAGCTGGCGGAAGTGAGAGGTTTGAGGCATGAAAGGAGAGGGTGGGAGTAAACAAAGAAGGGAGACGTTGGAACTGTGGAAACAATGGCTGTAGCCCAGAAAAGCAGTAAAGGGAGGCCCTGGAGGTGAGCCGTGCCAGCAGACATAGCGGGCAGCCAGCCCAGACTGAGTGCAAGGTGGAGGATGCTGAGGGGCAAGCCCGGGAGAGGGGGTGGGGTGGATTCTTGCTGTAATATCTAATAGGGTGCAGCAATTAAAGAAGATTGAAGTTAAAGTAGAGGAAACCATTGAAGAAAGGAAGAAAGATAGAACTCTAGGGAAAAGAACAAGCTCTCCGAGGAAGGAAATGTATTCATAATATAGTATTTAGCTAGTCAGCAGATAGCAATTACAAAGTCGAACAGTGGAGCACTGATTATCTATTCAACCAAAATAGCAATATATCTATATCAGAAGAGGAGAGGGAGGAGTTATTAGAGGTAGTTTCAGAGTTACATCCTAATCTACCATAACCTGAGTTAATAGGTGAATCTAAATGGATAAGACAAAAAAATAAAGAAGTAAATAAATAAAATGGATAAACCAGAAAGCTGTAGAATAAATAATATTTCAAGAAATGCAGTAACTATCCAGAAGAAACCAAGAGTTGAAATGAGTTACTCCTAGGGAGTGAGACTGGTGTGGGGAGTATTACACAGACAACAGGTATGTGATTTTTCATTACAGTCTTTCAGTATTTCATATTCTGAGTATAGGCAAGAATTAGTTAGATAAAATTAAATTATAAATTCAAAAAAACTAAGTAATATATGCCTGTTGTAAAACATTCATACCATATAAAAAAGGCGTGAGTGACAGTCCCATAATTCCATTGCTTGGGATAGTTTTTTATGTGTTTTTCCAAACTTGTATATGTTTTTTTAAATATATAGCTAATATTCTGAAACATTTTTACAGTAATGATTATTATACATGGTTGTGTTAGACCACACACATTTCACTTAAATATAGCATGGCTATCTTCCCATGTCATTCATTCTAGATCTGCGTCATCATTTTTAATGATTAAATAGTATTCTGTTTTATGAATATGCCAAATTTTATCCGATTAAGATACTGCTAATTGTTTGTCATTTTTAACCACGCATCTGTGGTAGACACCTTTGAAGAAGTGGCCCAGGCCTGTTTGCTAAGAATAACTTTCCGCCTGAAATGAGAACTGACCCTCCCCCACTGGACCAATCAGATAATCTCGAGAAATCTGAAAATTAAGATTTGCATGCTACATAGTCTCTGTTAAAGGAAGTGTGTGGAGAAAAGCAGACAAGGGGTCATAAAGCCCCAGAGAAGGAGGGATTGAGAGAGACTGAAATGGACATTGAAGCCCACTTGGTTCCTGATGGCTTTCTAATATCTGATTCATGCAACCAATGTGTATTAAATGCCTCCTGTGCCAGACACTGTAATGAGTGGTGGGAGGAACAAGGCAGACAAGTTTCTTGATCTCTTGCAACATTAGAATGAAGAAGATGTGACAGAAAAGATAAATGTGGAGTGTGGTAAGAACTGTGAGAGAAATGAGGAGGGTAAGTGGTAGAGGGTGGAGATCAGGGAAGCCTTTGAGAGGAGGTGACCTTTCTGCTAGGACATAGGGTTAAGGTGAGCCAGACAAGATGGAAGCTGGGGAAGAGTGCCTGAGGGATTGGAGAGGGGAATCTTCTCAGCTAGGGAACCGTAGATAGGTAGATGGGGAGGGACAGGAAGAAGAGAGCTGGATATGAGGAACAGGAGTTTAGTGTGACTACAATGAAGGAAGGGGGGCCGGGAGTTAGCTTGAGGAGAGTGTGAAGGTGCAGGAAGCATGTGAGGAGTTTGAACTTTAAATGTAGTGAAAAAAAGCCTTTGGAAGGCTTCAGCGAGAAGTGTCATGATTTTATTTTTAAATGTCTTTTGTGAGTCATAACTGTATTTCCTGCCCCTGTGCTGTTAGATATCTTATATCCTTATGTTAAAATTTTTCTTTTCTCAATTTAAGCAGGCTTGAGTAATTTCAGCTACAGTTACTTGTGCCCAAAGGACTGAGTTAAGACAACATCCTTGTTGTCTTTGTGTATACAACTCTGACCCTTTTCATGTCATTGATTATTTGTGTTCATTGGCCATTTTTTAAGAAAAGCCTCCTCTTCATGATTTTCATTCCTCTTTCTGTTGGAGAGTTTGACATGTTATTATGTTGTAAGGAATCGTATGTCAAGAGTAAACTTTTGTCTTGTGTATTTATTTCATTGTTTTCCCAGTTAGATGTTTGCCCTTTAACCTTGTTCATGCTGTTCTTTTCAGAAAGCATTTTTTTAAAGTAACAGCTTTATTGAGATACAATTCACATATTAAAAAGTCACTGTTAAAGTATACATTCAATTATTTTTTTAATATATTTATAAAGTTGTACATTGATCACCCAATTCCAGAACATTTTTCATCAGCCCCAAAAGAAACCCCGTACCTGTTAACAGTCACCCCCATTTTCCTCTCCTCCAAGCTCATGGCAACCACTAATCTACTTTCCAGTCTCTATGGATTTACATATTCTGGACATTTAGAATAAATAGAATCATAAAATATGAGCCATTTTATAACTGGCCTGTTTCACTTACCATCTTTTTAAGATTCATTCACATAATGTGTCAGTACTTCACTCCTTTTATAGCTGAAAAATATTCCACTGCATGCATATGCCACATTTTGTTTATCCTTTGTCAGTTGATGGACATTTGAGTTGTTTGCACTTTTTGGCCCTTGTGAAGAATACTGCGGTGAACATTTGTGTACATGCAAAAGGTTTTGACTTGTATTTGGTCAGATCAGCATTGCTTTTTTCCTTTGTAAAGATTACTGTATTTCTTGTCATATTAGCAGAGCCTTCTTAAAGTAGTCCATGTAAATATTCACCTGAATTTTTAAATGTATTTTTATGAGTAAATTATTCTATTTCAACCTATTTTAAGTCCACATGAAAATTCACTTTAGTTTAAGATTTGGAAAAAGGATATATAATTTTTCCCAGTAGAATCACTAGATGTTCCTGGATAATTTATTATTTAATAATTATCATTCCCTCCTTGATCTGAAACACTATGTTTACATCAAAATAAAAAATTTATAATAGAAAAAATGTTTCCAGATTTTGTTTTATTCCATTGATTTTTTTTTTTTAATATATTCCTATTGTGGTACTTCATTATAATTCTGGTACCTTTAGCTTTATAATACCTCTTAAGATCTTTAAAGAATATGCTTTCATTTTTTTAAATAACTGGGTATTCCCCAACACACACACACACACACACACACACACACACACACAACTATCTTTTCTATAATAGACATATATTCTTTCCAAGTTAGGAAAAATTTAGGGATTACTTAAAAATCTTTCTATCTATATAAAAGTCTCAGTGACCGTCCGACCATTTGGTGCATTGACTCCCAAGGGGCAGACGCTCAACTCACAGGTATGGAAACATGGAACAGACTGATGAATCTCAAAGAGGGCTAGGCAGGGAGAGATTAACCAAAGATCTTAAATGCATACTCAGGGCTGGTGCACCGATTCATGTACTGTTGGGTCCCTCGGCCTGGCCTTCGGGGATCGGGCTGAAATCAGCTCTCATTCATCCCCCGAGATGTCCTAGATTGTGGCCAGGCCAAGGGACCCCACTTACCAGGCCTCTAGTAATATATATTTTGTCAACTTCTAGAGAGCAATCCAACGGGATTATGGCCAAAGTTGCGTTTAAATTCACAAATTTAGGAAAGAGTTGTTAATTTTGAATCTTCCTGTGCCATAATATAGCACCTCCTTTATTCAAGTTTTTCTTTTATGTACATTGTTCTGTTCTATCAGTTCTTTTAGGTGTTCATTCTTGTTGCGATTGTAAATAGATCTCCCCGCTTCTCCCGAACCTCCTGTTGTACTCTTAACTGTTTATTTCATTAAATTAGAAAAGGTTTGCTTTTGGCTGCTGGCCAGTTTGTGGACTTTTGCATAATCGTAATTGGTTGATTCTCTTGAGTTTCACATGAAGCAAACAGAACGTTAACTGCAGTAACAAAACAGTGGAAAGTGCTCAGAAGGAGAAGCTGATGGTGTTAAAGGAACCCAAAACTCATTTGCTTGCCAGGTCAGAGAACCCCTTTTTGAGGAAACATTATTTAAACAGAAACCTAAGGGCTGCAGCAGGCGTGGCCGGAGAGAGGGGAGGAAGACTTTCCAGACTGAGGGACCAGGACAGGGGACCCTCTGGAGGCTCAGTGTGTGCAAGGGGCAGGGCAGAGTGAGCAAAGCTGAGTGGCAGGAGAAGGGAGCAAGGCACTTGGAGCCGCAGTGAGGAGTCCTGGTCACCTCGGGAGGCCAGGAGAGCTGACCCAGGAGGTTTCTGAGCAGAGCTGGAACCCTCCAGCTTGCTGCTTTGTGGGAAATGGATCAAAGACAAACCAGAGTGTGGGAGGCCAGTTAGGAAGCCGTTACAGGAGCTCTTATTAATGTCATTCTTCTCTCCTCAGCTCTTCACTGTTTTATAGAGTAAAGTAAAATTTTTATTGGATTGAAAAATAAATTTTATATTGGAAAACGGGGTTTTGAATTTCCGATCTGCCGCTAGCAGGCTGCATTTTATTGCATGTTCTGTCACTTCATAAAAAGCAAACGTTGACTCACTTGTCAGGTTTCCTATGTTATTCGAGATGAAGTGGAGAAGTACAATCGAAATGGAGTCAATGCCCTGCAGCTGGACCCCGCCCTGAACCGACTTTTCACAGCCGGCCGAGACTCCATCATCAGGATATGGAGCGTCAATCAGCACAAGGTGAGGCCGGGCAGGGGTGAGTTGACACTTGAAATCCATATTCCGAAAATTTTGCTCTAATTTGGCAGGCCTTTGGTACACTCGATAAATACCTGCAGCCAGCATTCTAGGAGCCTTCGAGAAAAACACCCCTAGGGGAGTTTCAGAAGTATCTATTTCAGGGAAGGCAAGGACTCCATAAACCAGATCTGGGATAAGAAAGACATAAAGAGATTCGTCTGTTGGGGGAATTACTTGCAACCATTTATTTTTCTGCTGTAAATATGTTCCCAAAAGGCTTCTTGGCAACCCTTTTCACTGCTATCAAGAAAAGGTTGACTATGCTTTTACAGTTATGACTAATCTTGAACAAATATTAGATCTCTTCAAGGTAAAAGTATGAAGGCATGAACATGCTGCCCTTCTGCAGATTTAAAGCCTGCTTTCTTACACAGGGACCAGCATTTCAACACATGTGAAGACAAACCCCCAGTCAAATTGCAAGGAATTCTTTTCCTATTTTGTTTGAATGTCCGTACTGGGAATGGCATAGAAAGGCAGGTTCGGGGAAGAAAAAGACATGTATTGAGCTCCTCGCTATGTACCAGACACTCTTCGCACTTTCATATCCAATATGGTCATAATTCTCACAATCCTCCTTCGAGGCAGCTGTTGCGGTTCGTGTTCATGGATGGAAAACAGGCTTACAGGAATCCATGGTTAGATGGCTCCTAAGTGACAGGAGTTAGAGCCCTCCCAGCCTCAAAGCCCTGCTGCTAATCCTGAGAGAATTAGAGTCTGGGTCTTGCTAGCATGCTCTGCCAGTCTGATGTTCAGTCCAAAAAGACCTACTCTTTTGCACACTTGCTGGGTGATGTTTCTTTAAATGGATTTTGGTCTGGTGGGCTTTAGATTCCTTAACAGTGGCAATAGAGGTGGCCCAATGTCAGAAACATGGAAAGTAAGAAAATCATGGCTTTTAAGTGCTTTTTGAAGCTTATATTTGAATTGGAATGTCACCTTCCTGGGAATTAACATTATGTTAGTTCTCTGTTTCTGTTAGTACTGTATTTCAAACAAATTACGGAAAAACATTCACAAAAACTAACCTGGGAGAATCTAGAAAGCCACCTATGCTGCCCTTAAGTATCTTTTTTTTCTGATCTTTATTTTGTGACAAGATCGAATAGCGTCATTTCTCAAACAGACTTGGAGCGAGAGCCGTGCTCTGTGCCAGGAAGTGTCTTGAACTTGCCTGTCTTGAGTGTAGGATGTAACTCAATACTTGGCTTGGTAATTAAGCCAAGTGAGAGGAATAGAAGAATCTCAAATTACTGAATTGAAATGGTGACCGGGATAGGACTCCTTTAGCCCTTGGCTTCCATTTCTTCTCTGGAGGACCTTAATTCAGAAGGTAGAGACCACAGTAGGAAGCTAAAAGCAAAAGTGTCCATCTCCCCCTGCAGTAGGCTGGGCTCCTCACCACTGGGCCGCCTGGTTTCTGCCCCGCTGTCTGCTGTGAGCCTTTAGCACCCTGATCACATCCCCCAGCCTGCAGATGGGTCCATGTCCTGTCCCTTCCAGGAACGCCTTCCTGTAGCACTGTTGCCTTCATTGACTCTAGGCATAAAAATTAAGCATTTGTTCTGGAAACCTAGGCTTTTAATAGTAATAAAACTATCCTGAAACAAAACTTCTATGCACATGTTATCTGGAAGCATCAGCTGTTGGGGCTAGATTTTTAAGGTCATAGAACAGTGGGTCACACTAATTGAAGAATCTAAACATATCTATAATTTGTAATACAGTTTATTCTCTAAGATAAGCTAATGATATCCTGTGATTTTTCTTTTAATTTCAGCAAGATCCATACATAGCATCTATGGAGCACCATACCGATTGGGTAAACGACATTGTACTCTGTTGTAATGGGAAAACGTGTAAGTATTTCTTTGATATTGGGCTTCAGGAAGCTTTTAACTTAATTTCATGTATTTTTTCATTTTTCATGTAAGCTTTTTATTAAAATACTAGAGGCCCCGTACACGAAATTGTACACAGGTGGGGTCCCTTGGCCTGGTCAGCAATCAGGGCCATTTGGGCCATCTCACCTAATCCGGGAGGGAGAAGGGGGAGGACCGTGGGAGGTTGGCCACTGCAGGAGGTTGGCTATGGGAGCACACTGACCACCAGAGGGCAGCTCCTGCATTGAGTGTCTGCCCCTTGGTGGTCAGTGCACATTATAGTGAACGGTCAACTGGTTGTTCGGTTGCTTAGGCTTTTACAGATAGATAGATAGATAGATAGATAGATAGATAGATAGATAGATAGATAGCATACATACAGAAAAGCATACACACCTTGAGAGTACAGCTCAGTAAAAGTTTGCGAGGTAAACACCCATTTAAGAAACATTACCAGAAGTGTCCCCCGCCCCAGGCCACCCTTTCAGTCACTATCCGGGGTAGGACTCCTTTAGCCCTTGGCTTCCCTTGCCCCACTGTCTTCTAAACACTATTGATTCATTTTGCCTATATTTGAAGCATCTATAAATAGACTCATATAATATGTATTCTCCTTCTAACCTTATTAATATCTCTTTCTGTTCTTATTATGGTAGGATCCATTTCTTGTTTTTTCAGTCTGTGTTAGAAAAATTTTCCTAATCAGATTAGTTCAATAGGAACTTTAAAAACTGTTTGCCTTAGCTATTAAAAAAATAAAAATTTGAGACAGAATACAAGAGGTTCTGGAAAAAACTTTTAAATATATATCTTTAATATTTAACATATATTTAATATATTAAATATATATATATTTAATTTTGATTGATTTCAGAGATGAAGGGGGAGAGAGAGAGAGAGATATCAATGATGAGAAAGAATCATTGATCGGCTGCCTCCTGCACGTCCCACGCTGTGGATCGAGCCCGCAACCCTGGCATGTGCCCTTGACCGGAATCAAACCTGGAACCCCTCAGTCCACAGGCCTGTCTATGCTCTATGCACTGAGCCACACCAGCTAGGGCTAGGAAAAGCTTTTAGATTATAAATGTACTGCATGTGTGTATAAACATGAACAGATGTTTGAATTAATATTAGGAATATTATAAATGTTGAAGCATATACCACTAAGGTGTTTATTAATTCTTTGCCTCTTCTAGTAATATCTGCTTCTTCTGACACGACAGTAAAAGTATGGAATGCACATAAGGGATTTTGTATGTCAACATTAAGGACACACAAGGTAAAAGAGCTAACGTAATATTTCAATTTTCAGTGTCTTTAGTGTAATATTGGGGTCTCAGTACTTTAGGTGGCTCATTTCTTATCGATCTACAATGTAGATCATAGTACGTATGTTCTATTACAGGATTATGTAAAGGCCTTAGCATATGCCAAGGATAAAGAACTGGTAGCATCGGCTGGGTTGGACAGACAAATATTCCTTTGGGATGTGAATACTCTAACAGCATTGACTGCCTCAAATAACACTGTCACAAGTAAGGTGTTTGAAAAAAATGTCTTTGAAAGTGCTCCAAGTTGATTTTTAAAAAGAATGATTTATAAAATATCTTTGATAAGTTTGCATTGAGACAGTGGTTCATATCTAGAGAGTGCTTCTACCTCCAGCATTCTAGCTCCCAAGAGTATGCTTGGACAGGAGCTGGTTCCTCACTGTGTTTAAAGCGGTAACTTCTCCAGGTGTCCCCTGTCCACATGCATGTCGTAGGTCCCCAGCTGCAGTGTGAGCTCCTGCAGGCAGGAGAGTCTGTCTCACTGCTCCTTTGTATCTCCCACAGCATCGCCCGCCCAAAGCCACACACTCAGCAGACACTGCTGCTGGAGGTGGTGACTACCTGACAAAGTAGGCAGCTTCTGACTTTCAAAAGTGTTACTGTGTATTAAGAACCTTTGAGTTCATGGCCCAAATGGAAAATACCCAAAGCAAAGAAAAAAAGGTTTTCAGTACGAATTTTGCAGGACTTTTTTAGAGCAGCCCAAAGAATCCAGCCAATTCCAGAGGAGTTCAGGAAGGCTAGGGTGCTGCGAGGGGCGATTCAGCATGTTCACAGCAGGTCAATAGTGTGTATGCCTCTTCAGCCAAGATCATAGGTGACCAGCTCAGACCCATCCAAGTCTGAACTTGAAACTCAGCCTCATGCTTGGCCCAACTTACTCGAGTCCTGTAGGCCAGATGCCAGAAAGGACTCTCTGGAGCACATTTTTGGGCCAAGCCTGGCCTGGAAAGTCTGTTTTCAGGACGTGGGCTTGAACCCTCTAGATCCCTGTTTTATAGATTTAATTTGTCATGACTGTGGAACACTCACACTGACATAGCGAGGGCAGTTCTAATACAACCTAGTATGTGCCAAGAGGGACAAGTTGGGAGGCTGGTTTATAGTTGTTGTTTTTTTTAATATTGTTTTGCTTCTCCTCCCCCCACCCCCTTTCTTGGGGAGATATGTGAAGGTCTAAACACTATTCTCCCCTTGTTCTTAATTTTTCCCCTGTGCACTTTCTCAGTGCTTCAGTAGCTGGTCCCTGCTGAGGTTATCATGATCCATTTACCTCTTTGTAGATGTAAGACCTGCCTCAAAGAGACACTAGCAAGATGGAACAAGGCAAAATAGCAGGATGGTCTCAAGGTCAGAGACTGGGCTTAGTGGTTACAGATTCTGCAACAGATATGTCTTGGCTTAGAGTAGTTTAGAGAGGACCTCACATAAGTTTTTGTGATTATAGAAATAATAGTAATAGCTAATATTTATTAAGCACTTCTACAAGCAATTACTTTTCTAAATACTTCACATATACTATTCTTTATTGTAAAATTAGGATCATACTTTATAGTTGTATATGCTTTTAATTTCCACTTCAGTGGTATTTTGTTCTGAATCAAAGGGCATGAACATGATTCCTGCTATGTGTTGCCTAGTTTCCTTCCAGAAGAGTTGTACCAAATTGTCCTCCCACAAGCAATGTACGAGAATGCCGTTTTACTGTGTTTTCTGATAATTGAATATTCCCTTGTTTTCTTTTTAATCTGATTTAGTGAAAGAAGTATTTTCGTTTATTTGAAAACAGTTTTTCATATATATTGGTGGCATATGAATATCTTGAAAAATCTATTATTTATGTGGATAGGTTTTAAGTGGCAGTGCAGTTCAACTTAGCACATATTTATTGAGCATTTGGTATTCTCAAATCCAGAAAAGATGTGAAACTTGATATCTCTGTTATAGATTTCTTTAGAGCACTCATAAAGATAAGATTTTGTAAAATTGAATAATTAAACTTGCAGTTTTTGCTGACTAGCTACTAAACATCTGGTAATTTTGTTAACATGTAGCTCCATTTATCCTTAATAGCTTCATCTTTAAGTGGAAACAAAGATTCCATTTATAGCCTGGCAATGAATCAACTGGGAACAATCATTGTATCAGGGTCCACTGAGAAGGTAAGGGGGAGCTTAGAGGGTGTATCTAACTCGAGAAAACAAAGAAACCAAAATAATTTGATCTGTGTCATTCTTAAACATATGGTCAGTGGTTTTGCCTACTGGAATGCTAAAAGAAAGGTTTTATCTGGACAAATAAGAGCATAACTGTGTCATTACTGTCGAGTGTGGTAACGGGGGGTGTGGATGAGGTGGGAAAGGCCTGTTCGTTTTTGACATTGAAGAGGCTTCCTCCCACTTGAAAAGGGAGCTTAGACAGTGTCCATTGGCGGAAGCAGCATTTCTTTCTCAGAATTGAATGGCTGTCATTTGATTTATAAGTCATCTATTATTGAAATTTGATGGTGGATACACTCAGTTTGTGTAATATTTTGTTAAAATTTACAGGTTTTAAGGGTATGGGATCCAAGAACGTGTGCAAAACTGATGAAGCTTAAAGGGCACACGGATAACGTAAAAGCGTTGCTGCTGAACAGAGACGGCACCCAGGTACGCAGGTTCTCGTGGGCGCTGACCTGATGGCTTTAGCAAAGTTTCATACACCAGAAATCCCCCCACTTAGTGTGCTGCTGCAGACACCAACTGAACAAAGCTGCCTCTGTTATAACCTGGGCTAGTTTTAAATCCTTAAAATACTAAATTGAACGTATAATAACCCCAATTTCGAAAAAACAATCTTTCATCAATGTAGATAAAAAACTGAAAACTAAGCATCATTTACCCCATTTCATTTTTCGGAGCCAGACGAACAGGCTCTCAGTTAATGTGCAGAAGGCACTCAATGGCCCGGAGGAGAGGACTTCACCTGGTCCTTGGTTAGCTCATCTGCAAAGTGGGAATCGTACTTATTATAGTTTGTGCAGTAGGTGAGAACATTAGAAGTAATGAGTATATTTGTGTCATAATCCCTGGGTTTTTAGAGCTCTTGAACCCTTGCAGCCCCATTTTCATGTGAGTTAAGAAGCTTAGTGAGTCAGCTCCTCAAGTTTTGCAGTGTAGCTGCTGGGCTGCCTTGTTCTCTAAGCTTTGTCTAGGTTGCCTGGACCGTATGGTCTCAATGGTACTGCCCTTAATACAGGTTATAGACGTGATGGTTTCCAGAAGGGGCTCTGGGTCTGGCAGACCTGCCAAAGCTCCTCCTGGCTGCTACACTCCATGCCTTGTTTCTGTATTTACGTTTATGAATGTGCTTTTACCCAAGATGCACTTCACTAAAGTCAGCTACTGATTCTCAAACTCGTGTTTGAGGCAGAAGTGCTAGATATCAGTTCCTGGACCAGAGTTTATTTTGCATCCTGCAGAATTACCCTGCAAGGTTCTAATGCGGTGACATTGTGATTCAAGGGCTTACGATATATAACAGGCCAGGGAATCTCGTGGACAGTAACCTTTTGCCTCACTTCTTTTGTTGCAGCGTAACTTTGGTTAGTTAACAAATCTTATGATTTGAAGTCCGTCACCATTGCAATCATTTTGATTGGTGTCAACATCCCTGGGCCGAGCCACTTTTCAGAGGCAGAAATACAGGTTGTTAGAGGCATGCGCTTGACAGTGTGGCGTCAGCAGAAAGCCGGGGCAGAGCACAGGAACTTTTGGACAGATCTCTATCTAACCTTTACTGCTTTGTTCCCAGTGCCTCTCTGGCAGTTCTGATGGGACAATTCGCCTGTGGTCCCTCGGCCAGCAGAGATGTATAGCGACGTACCGAGTCCATGATGAAGGCGTTTGGGCTCTGCAAGTCAATGATGCCTTCACACACGTGTATTCTGGAGGAAGGGACCGGAAGATTTATTGTACAGACCTGAGAAACCCTGACATTCGAGTGCTGATTTGTGAAGAAAAGGCACCAGTTCTCAAGGTAGGTGATACATATTTTTTAATTTTTTAAATTGATTTGAGAGAAAGGAAGAGATGGAGAGAGAGAACATCAGTGTGAGAGAGAAGCATCAATTGGTTGCCTCCTGAATGCGACCTGATCAGGGATCAAACCCGAAACTTGGATACTGGGAATCAACCACACTGAGCCACAATCAGTGCAGTATGTCATGTATTTTAGATTACATGATTAAGATTGTTACATTGTTCCTGAGAGCGCCTGGCTGTCTTACCTGTCATTAGAGGGGGAATGTGAGGAGTTCAATTATCTGCTCAAGAGAGAGGGAGGGTGTGGAAGAGCGCCTCAGGAGGCGGGAACGAGCTGGCTCATCCCCCACCCCATAGCTGCTCAGAGTGGTCCTGGTCAGGTCTGGATGTGGGCGAACAGGTACCTGGGAAGCCATCTATATCGACACCTATCAGAAGTAGAGCCTAGGCTAAAAAACGGCAGGCGTCACAGGACGAACGGCCAGCCTCCCTGATAATCCTAGAATTGCACACAAACAGGGAGGAACTTTAAAAGGAGCATAAAGACATACTACCCTGTCTTCTCACAAATCATCTGACAACAACAGGGGAAGCAAGAAACAACTGCAAGTACCCATCATCTGTGCAGCTGAGTGACATCTGAAACCCAGACCACAGTGTAAGAGGAGGAAGGGCTGCCGGAGGGAGCAGTGTGCTGAGGAGACGTTGAGAGGATGCCTGTGGTCTGGCTAAGAGCGGTTCTGTAAAGTGGATGGCAACCCTAATGGACAGACCAGTAATGCTTTAGGAAAAGCAGGAGTTAGGGCTGCCATCACCGACACAGCGTGTGTGCAGGAAGCAGCTGGCGGGGTGACAGGTGGGGCGGAGGAGCACTGCGCCGGGAGTCCTGCAGCTGCCAGGGCCTCTTGGCTGGAGAAGAAGACCTTAGCTCAGACGGCCGTCCGTACAAGGAGCATCGCTCTGAACTGAAGAGGATCCGCTGGCCAGGAGCCCGGCCCTGTCCCCGCAGCTCCAGTCCTGCGTTTCCTGGCACAGGAAGAACCGTGGGCTAATGTGGACTGATTCCCATTGCATAATATATGGGCATTTGTATATTTTATACGTTTAGTATTTTAAAAACACAGACGGGCACACAGTAAACTGTTCACAGGTGCTCTGTCCTTGGGTGAGGGCGTAGAGAATGTAGGGGTACTTTTCGCTTTTGCTGTGTTGTATTTTTACTACTAACATTTTCAAAGAAAAAACAAATCCATTTCTTTGTTATTAAGAACAAACAAAAAAAAGGGTAGCAAAAACAAAACAAAAAAATATGATAATCATCCTTTGGCCTGAACCCATTTCATTCGGGGTGGGGAACGTCCGGCCCCCAGGCCGTGGAAGGCCCGGAGATCATTTGGTCTAGTCTGCCGAGGCATGAGTGGTGAGTTAATTAAATGGTTGACCAAATATAGCAGGCTAATTTTTTTTTAATATATCTTATTGATTTTTCACAGAGAAGAGAAAGGGATAGAGAGTTAGAAACATCGACTAGAGAATCATCCATCAGCTGCCTCTTGCACATCCCGACCGGGGATATGTATAGCAGGCTAATTTTAAGTTGATAATTTTGTGTAGCGCTTGAATGATGTTATAAATATCCAAATGGCTCTTCACAGAAAACCCCATCCCTGCCTAAATTAAGCACACTTAAACCTTTAAACCGTTATTTTTGGTGAGAAGTCACTGTCCTGCACTATTATAGTGTCATGAATTTCCTTAAGACTCCCTCATTCACTTGTTGAATCCTTAGCTTTTAACATGCGCCATGGTATAGTCAACACACAGTGTTGAATGGAGGGGTTATTTAATAACGTAGAGCTGGTCCTGGCAGCTCAGAAGAGTCAGCATTCCACACAGCAATGTTTTTGTGCCTTGTTTTCAGATGGAGCTTGATAGATCAGCTGATCCACCTCCTGCAATCTGGGTTGCAACAACGAAATCTACAGTAAATAAATGGGTAAGTGAGCCAGTGTACAGCTGACAAAGGATTAGGAGCTGATGAAGGATCAGAACCAGTGGCAAATATTAGTATGAACCTGGCTCAGCATGCCTTTCAACAGTGCCAAAATCTGAAAGCCCCTATGAATGCAGGTGTGGGCCTAAGGGTTGTACAGAAAATAAGGTAGCAGTCAAAATGATGCTTCGATGTCTTTGTCAGGAGCCAAGGAATATATTTGGTGTGCTTAGAAAGGCACTGCAACCTGATACAGCCAGTAGATTTAGTCCAGCTCTGACCTCATGGGGCTGCATTTGAAAATGGGCAGCCCAATGCCAGCACAGAAGGGAAACGGGTTAGGCTTCTGTTTCTCTAAACACAAAAAAACTGTGCTTTCAGACTCATTTCCTTTTTCTTCTTAGTATGAAAGACAGGAGAGAAATAGGATGATCAGAGAGAAGTCATCAAAAGTACTATTAATTCTTACATCTTAATTGAAGACACTAAATTTTCTTACCAGACTGTTTGTGGATAACTAAAGAGAAAGTGTTTCTTTTCTTTTTTTTTTTTTAATGTATTTTTATTGATTTTTTTACAGAGAGGAAGGAAGAGAGATAGAGAGCTAGAAATGTCAATGAGAGAGAAACATCGACCAACTGCCTCCTGCACGCCCCCCTCGCTCCCCACCGGGAATGTGCCCGCAACCAATGTACATGCCCTTGACCGGAATCAAACCCGGGACCTTTCAGTCCGCAGGCCGATGCTCTACCACGGAGCCAAACCGGCTTCGGCAAGAAAAAGTGTTTCTATTTATTCCTGTTTATAGATATATGCAGGTCAGATGGTCTCTCTCTGTGCTTGTAACAAATGTTACATTTCTTGTCTACATTTCATTGTGCTAATTTGAGATCAACATAGTTTACCTGGAAGAATGCCTACTGTTCTCTCCAAAAAGACATTCCCTTCTTAATGTTTGTTTGGGTTTTTTAAATCCTGGTGGATAATCATACTTTGTCACTGTGTATTTTTGGGTCGGTGTTTTTATTATTGGGTTGTTCTCATTTGTTTCTCTTGCCACTTTAAACAGATTGGCAAAGTTTATAAGGCATAAAATAATTAAATAATGAATTTTGTTTTTTCAGACGTTGAAGGGAATTCACAACTTCAGAGCCTCTGGAGATTATGACAATGACTGTACAAACCCTATAACACCCCTTTGCACACAGCCTGACCAGGTTATTAAAGGTGAGTAAGGAAATGGGAAGGTATTGTAGCTTTTGTGGAGATTAATGGTAGTCACTAAGAGACTGACAGCAATGGAGAAGATGACCTTCCTTTAAATGTAATTCTGAGGTCAACAAGAGACTCATAATAGCATTTTTATTTATTTTTAAATCAAAGAAAGGCTTTTAAAAACAGCTATTTAGTGACTTCAAAATATGGGCTCTCTTTAATTAATCTTTTTACTCAGCATCAGAATAGTCACAGTCTTGGTAAAGCCAAGAGCCATTTTGAAAAATATAGAGAGTTTAGTGTTGTCTTTTAGCACAAGCCAGAAAAGTCAGATCTGGTCCTAGAATTCTGCAGCTACAGCTGTAACGGCACCTCTGGCTCTAACGTTTGGGATTGGAATATTGAGTGACACATCAAGAACAATGTTCCTTCAGGAGGCATAAAGAGCAGGAAACTGGGAAGCAAAAGCTGATGAGAGCTGGGGTTCAGCCAAAAGTTTCCTGTCATTAGGACTTTCCCAGTGGGTGCAACTGTCTGCCTTTAACCATTCTCAACTAGTAGCCCCGGGTTGAAGTGAGGATTCTTTTCATCTATAATCCGTATTAAAACTAGACTTTTTGTTTAACTGACCTTCATTGCCTTAGATATAATGACATAGTCTTCTGATTTACCTTCTTCTTTCTGGGGGGCTAGTGTGATTCATATTCTATGAGACACCAGTTCACAGTTATGCCGCACAGTGAACTTAAATGTAGTGGAAGGATTGTTCTGCTAACTGTGCGGATTTTTCTCCTTTAGGCGGTGCGAGTATTATTCAGTGCCACATTCTTAATGATAAGAGACATATATTAACCAAAGACACCAACAATAATGTGGCATATTGGGATGTATTGAAGGTGAGTATCTTTTTTATTAAATGTATGTTACTGGATCATGTATCCCATTTATTTTTTATGATATAGATATAGATATACATATAGATAGATATACACCAAGATAATAAATATATAAATTAAGATTTAGTTTCAATAATATTTTATTTGGGGGTTAGATACTTTCTTATGTGAATATTAGAAAAGGCTATAGTTTCCAAATGAATATTTTTGGGGGGGGGGGGGGGGTATTTAAAATTGTAATAGTTATTTAAAGTTAACTGCTCTAAAATAAAAATGTTTGTTTGCCAAAACCGGTTTGGCTCAGTGGATAGAGTGTCGGCCTGAGGATTGAAAGGTCCTGGGTTCGATTCCGGTCAAGGGCATGTACCTTGGTTGTGGGCACATCCCCAGTATGGGGTTGTGCAGGAGGCAGCTGATCGATGTTTCTCTCTCATCAATGTTTCTAACTCTCTATCCCTCTCCCTTCCTCTCTGTAAAAAAATCAATAAAATATATAATAAATAAATAAATAAAAATGTTTGACCATTTCTTTTTAAAATGTTTTAGACTCTATATTAACAGGCAAAATGTGTAAAATTTTGAGTCGCTAAGTCAGAATCAAATTAAGTTGCCACTTAATTATTATACTTTCTTTCTGATGCATAGGCAAGTAAAGTGGAAGATCTGGGCAAAGTGGATTTTGAAGATGAAATTAAAAAAAGATTCAAGATGGTGTATGTACCAAATTGGTTCTCAGTAGACTTAAAAACAGGGGTAAGTTAGCAATTGATACTTGTGCAATTTGGGATAGTTGAAAATTTCTAATGTAGCTCAAAATTAAGTATCATTAGTTACAGAGTCCTATGTTTTTAAGTGGGAAAGGGGAAAAAATTATTAATTCTTGCAAAACGCAGTTTAAATATCTTTTGGTATCCTAGTAAATTAAACTGTAGTTGCATAGAATTACATGAAACCCTTTTTGGTTCTGAATCTGTGGCTTAGCACGTTAGTTAAATAGTACAAATAAAGGTTTAGATACGAGTTTGGAGGATGTATCCAAATGGCATGCCACTAACAATTTTTATTTTTGACAGATGTTGACTATTACTTTGGATGAGAGCGACTGTTTCGCTGCTTGGGTTTCTGCCAAAGATGCCGGCTTCAGTAGCCCTGATGGGTCAGATCCGAAACGTGAGTGTGTCCTTCCTTCTCTTCCTCCTTGCGAGAGAGAAGGTGGGTCTGTGCTCTCTCCTTTGTGCTCTTCTTTCTGAGAATCTGTTCTGTTGTGTTGATGATGTCTTTGGTCAGGATTTTCCTAAGAATGTAGCCTGTGCCCAATGTATACAAATACCATTCTAGTGGCTTTACATGGAAATAGCCTTTTAAAGAATTGCTTTATCTGAACAACCAAATAGAGTATGTTTGCTCCATATTACCACTGCTTTAAACATTCAAAGATAAAATTTTAATAGACTTGGAAAAATCTCTGAAGTCTTGCTTTTAAACATCATTGACATTAGGTTGAGAATTGAATATCAGGCTCTGGCCAGGTGGCTTGGGTGGGTGCAGTGTCGTCCCATACACCACAGGGTTGTGGGTTCGATCCCCAGTTGGGACACATGAGGTGTTTCTCATGTATATAGAGAGACACATGTGGTGTTCCATATATATATATGGAACACATCCCAAAGCAATAAAAACATATCCCCTTGGGTAAGGATTAGGAAAAAGAATTTAACACCAGATATGTGGAAACTTGTTTTTTTTTCTTTCCCTCTATTTTGGGGTAAAAACAAGTAATTCTCTTTTCCATGTTCTTCTTTTTAATTGCCTCTGTTGCAGTGAACTTAGGAGGACTTTTGCTCCAGGCACTCCTAGAATATTGGCCTAGAACACATGTGAACCCCATAGACGAAGAAGAAAATGAAGTAAACCATGGTTCGTGCTTTTATATCAGGATAAATGATTAACAATTACCCAGAAGTTAAAAACTCTCGCTGGTTGTTATTTTAAGAAACATTTTAAGCATTTGCTAAATTGTGACCTAACATTTTGATGTGCCCAATTTATTGCTTTCCCTTCCACACCCCAAAGAAGGAACATCCATCCAGTCTTCTCTGAAAATCCAAGGAACTTTCAATGGGTGAAAATGCTCACAGAGAGAGAATAAATCCTGAGCATTCCCATGGCTTTTGGCCTTAAAAGTAGGCAGCTTAGCAGGCTTATGCTGAAGCAATTTCTCAGAGTACCCACGGGCCTGCTGGACTTACCTCCAAACCTAGCTAGTTAGCTCCCTCAGGACACCAGGTTTGGCCTTGTATTGTCATAATTCTTGTTGGCCTGAAATGTTGCTATTACCTAGTCGGATGATCTGCCTGATTTGGGCTCTGAATGTTTCAAAAAAAAATCAAATTCCAACTCAGAAGTGTCAGGAAAAGTGAACGCATCTATATAAAGCATGAGTGCCTTGAGGACATTCAACGACCGTGTGTGCCACAGGCAGGGGCAGCAACCTTCTAGGCGCAGTCTGGTTAAAGGGAGGGAGGGAAGGTCTTAAAACTTGACAACGCATGTGTAACCCACAGCCAGCTGGAGTTTCCTTGTGTCCTACCTCCTGCCGGCCTGCTCTGCTGAGGGTTCTGAGCTCCCTGCAGTCCGCTGAGGATGGCCCGCCTCAGGTGGTCCCCAGCGATGCGCACCTAGCAGAGACTTCACTCTGCTCACTGACTCGTCCAGAATGATTTTTGGACTTTAAATCTCTTTTGTAAGCATGGCATGCTTCCTTGAAAGCCAGTCTTCTGACTTCCCTGTGGTGGCTTTCCTTTTGTGTCACCTCCCCATCAGAACTGTAGTGGACTGTGGCCCAGAGAAACCCAGTGGGAAGATCTCTCCACAGAGGGCTGAGAAAGCCAGGCTCTGCTGTGGCTCTGCCATTTCTCAGCTATGTAGCTGTGAGCACGTCATGTCCTGTTCTCGGCTTGTCCTCCATCTATAACATGACAGTTAGACCAGATGTCCTCAGAGGCCCTAGTGTCCGATAAAGATTAGTCAAGAAACAGCCAGCACCTCTTGGATCCAGGTTTTGGTTGGAGGAAGAAGTCCCAGGAAACCCCAGATCATTCTTCAAGTCAAAGTGCCACAGTAACTCAGGGCAGGGCCCGCCCACCTCCCCAGCCAAAGCTCAGGACACTGGTGTCCACCTGTCAGGTAACCTGCTGTGCCTGCTCCGTGCTCAGCGGATTCTCAGCAGTTGCTTAGATTATAGTATTGAGCTCAAGTACTCAGAGGCCTGTGGTGAGTTGTAGGTGGGGAGAACGCAGATGAGTGGGCGTGGACCCTGTCCTGCAGGGACTGACACTCTGCTGGACAGAGAGCTACGTGCATGAAGCATTCTGAGTTCAGGGAGAAGTGATGGCTGCCGTGGGAGCGGCTCTGGAGGTGCTGTAGGATTTCAGAGGGTGGGGTTGCTTCCAGATTCATTGGGGAAATACTCATGAGCAAGTTGTACCTGAGTGGGGGTTCACTGCGCTTGGGACAAAAGATTACCAAGAAAACAGGGAAATGAAATGTGCAGAGAACAGTAGGAACAAAAGTATGACCTCTCTGAGGATTTTTTCACTGGTCCCTCTGCCATTAGTTATGGCCGCCACTAAAATAATTTTTTTTCTGACCCAACAAATTTTTTCTGAACTTGGAGTTCTACTAAAAACACACACCAGATTGCCATTTATAAGCACACCCTCCTAGACTCCCCTGTGGTTCAAGTAGATGGTTATGCTTTTGCTTCAAATCTCAGACATCTCTTCTAAAATGCAGTCATTTCTCATGGGGCACATCACAAATTGCTATAACCAAGTATTTCTTACTTTCAGGAATTTGGCTTGGTTTGTTTTTTGCCTTTATTTTTTACTCTGGCTGACTTAAAGGACTTTAACTTTAAAAATATCGCAGTGTCTGCAGCCTGGGTAAACAAAACGTTTAGAATCTGTTCGTTGCACTAACTCTGCATCTGACACCATCTGTATCTTTCCCTAGTAAATGGGGAGCAGGAGAACCGAGTACAGAAGGGGAATGGCTATTTCCAAGTGCCCCCCCACACCCCCGTGATCTTCGGTGAAGCAGGAGGCCGCACCCTGTTCAGGTATGAGCAGGGGGGGCTGGAGGCATGTCTACGGAAGCCTCTCATTGCTCAGAAGTAGTGGACCAAGCAGAGGCTATAAATTATTTATCATCACCACTAGAGGTGTCAGGGATTGGGAAGCTTTTTCATCTCCGGGAGATAGATAGTTAAGCGATGCTGTTGGACCACGTCCCAGCTGGGAGCTGAGCCTCTGCGGTTAAAGGAGGTCGACACCTTGCCTCGAGGCAGCTTCTCTGGTGGCGTCTGCAGGAAGCTCACTTCCACTTACTCAGCATGACTGCCGGGGTCAGGGATCAGGTGGCAGCACCAGAAGTCCCTGTCCACGGGACAGCGTCAGGGCAGGTGACTGCCCACAGGCTGGGTCAGGCAGGATGGACTGGCTGCCCCTGGGAATGGTTGGGCCCAATCATGGCCCGATTGTGTGGCCCTGCAGGAAAGAGCTATGCTGCCTTACCTCCACGTTGCCAGCAAGGCCTGCTAGAGTGATGGGGAGAGCTCACGAGAACCTTCTGTAGGGCCATGAGTAAGAAAAGGGCTTGTCTTGCCATGGGCTCAGAATTCTCTTCCTTTATGGTGGTTTCCTGAGCGTGTTAACCAAAACACTCTGCCCCTGCTCTGTGGGGAGGCCTGTGTGGTGGGCTGCAGCGCTGGCAGGGGATCTTTCTCGAGGGCTTTGCCTACACACAGGCTTCTGCCCTCAAGCAGCGACTCAGAGGCAGCGCTGGTGCTGCTGGCCTTGGAGTCCGCTCGCTCTAGCTGAGTGAGCCATCCGGCTGGCTGCATGCACTTTCCTCAGCTCAGTGGGTTGTCCTGAATGAACTCTGTAGGGTCTCAGCCCTTTGTCTAGTGTTGATAACGGGTTTTGTCATCTTGCTGTCGTGTCACTCACTACCTGATGGCTGTGTCCAGGCTGCTGTGCCGGGATTCCGGAGGGGAGACGGAGTCCATGCTGCTCAACGAGACGGTGCCACAATGGGTAATTGACATCACCGTGGACGTAAGTGTCCTCCACTCCCACTTCTCCCTGGTGTTTTTTCCAAACCATGACGCGAATGCAGAACTGCTTTAGACTGGATAACCTTACAGTGCAATAAAAACTAGATTGCCAAAGAAAACAAACACCAAAAGCTGACAGGACAGCCGTTCCCCGCATCCTTGAGCTCCAGCTTAATCAGTGTCCCACCTCCCAAGGCTCCATCAAGAAAAATGCAGGAGGAATAGCCTTCCCGCTGCAGCCACCGAGCCCAGGGAGCCGTGCCAGTGACGGCGTCAGGAGCCCCGGGTCAGCTCTAAGCCCTTTGCAGCCACCGGGCAGCATTCTCTGGGGCCACTGCACAACCCTGCGCCAGTGCCAGGCTGGCTGGCATGTCTACAATGGCTTCCTTTCTCCTGTCAGTGAAAGCCAAGCGCACCCAGGGCGGGCCAAGCAGTTCTGCCAGCTTACGCAGGAGCCGCCTGGTACCCATGATACCCCTTCAGCCCTGGCACACGTGGACCGCTTCCAACACCCTTAAGTCCTGGGCTCCCCATGCACCTCAGAGATGTCTTTTTAATTGAGGATGAGGAGGGAGTGGTTGTAGCTCCCTTTTCACTCTGTGTTATTACACCCTTCCCCCTGGGGGTCCCTTGTCTCTCAGCCCAAACACAGAGCCCTCCAGGCCCTGCCCGTGGACCCCGGCCCTCTGCAATCTCACTTTTTATGGATAAATTTATTAAGTAAAAAACTAGACTGCCAGGTAGAATCTTCTACTTCCCTGTAGTTCCAAAGTTGCAGAAGTAGTATTGGTATTCATCTGTTTATATCTGTATTGGTTTTTAACTATAAAATTAATATATGCTTATTAAATAAATGAATCAAGTGAAACCTCCATCCCTTTCTCAGTCACTCCTTCTTTTCCATTTGCTCCCTGTCCTTCTCCCCAGAGGTAATAACTGTTACTAGTTTAGTGCAGAGCCGTAAGTGCTTTTTTCTTTGCTACGTAAGCATATATTACCCGCATATATGCATATAGCTTGTTTTATTTTGCACAAGATCTATTACTATTCTGCAACTTGGTGGGTTTTTTGTTTTGTTTTTTAACTTAAAAATCTATCTTGAGCATTTTTTCATGACTTTACAGATTGGATCATTTCTTTTCAATGACTGTATACTATTCCGTTGTCAAATGTACCATAATTTATTTAACCAGAACCTTATTAGTGGGGACTTAGGTTGTTTCCAATGTTTTCTATTACAAACAATGCTTCAGTGAACATCCTTGTACATATAACTTTGTGTACTTTTTAGGATAAATTCCTAGAAGTGGAATTGCTGGATCAAAGGGTATGCACATTTTAAATTTTGATAGATATTGGCAAATTGCCCTCCACAAAGGCCGTACCAGTTTACACTCTCACCACAGGGCATGCGGGCCCACACCCTCACCCACAATGGATACTTTCAATCTTTGCTAAAAGATAGGCAAATACTCTCATTGTTTTAGTATAATTTGGGGATTTTTTAATATGTGGTGAGGTTAAGCATCTTTTCATATTGGCCATTTCTATTTCTTCTGTGAATTGCTTGTGTTATTTACTTATTTCTCTAATTTCTCTATTGGGCTAGTTGTCCTTCTTATTAATTTATAGGAGCTCATCATATTCAATATTAATGACTATTAAGCCTCTTAATTGAATTTTTACTTTGTTCATGGTATTTTTGTCAGACAGAAAGCTTTAATTTTATATAATCAGATTGATACTTCATGGTTCTGAGTTTTATGTCTTGCTTATGTATTTCCCTCTTCAGAGTAGCAAAAATATTCTTCTGTATTCTCTGGTATGTCTATGGTAATTGTTTATGTCTTGATCTTTAACCTATTAGAAGTGATTCGGTTTGGTGTGAAGTAGGATGCTAACTTTCTACAAGTGGACAATAGCCAGGGTGCCAACACAATTTTTAAATAATCTATCCTTTTTCTACTAATTTGAATGCTGTCTTTATCATATACTAAATTTCTGTATGGGTCTGTTTCTAGACTCTCTTCTGTGCTGTTGACTTATTTTGCATACCCCTAAAGCCATATGAAAAGAGATTTAATCTCTAGAACCTTCAGAAAATACTTTCTATCCCAGTTATACCACATCCAAGCTGGTGTGACACCTGGTGAATGTTCTGCGGTCTTCTCCAAATCCGAGCTCCCCATAAACCACTACTCCTTTGAGTGTGCAACCCACCTGGGTCACTTAGGCCTGTGGCTTATTCCTGAGAGGAGACATCTGGACGGGCTCGGAGGGGATTAATACCCAGAGAAACGGTGACCCGTTAAGTCTTAGCCTTCACCTGAGTGTGTGGTTTATTTCACGGTGGATGTCTAAGCTAGTTGGCTGGAGTTGCCACTCTTGTGAAAAACCTCAGCCCTCACTCTGACATCAGAGGGAAGAAGCGTGGGAGGACCTGGCTGGCCTTTCCATTGCATGAGCGGCCTCACCAGCGTAGAGAGTATGGTTTTGCTCAAAGACAAATGTTGTGGGTTTCTCTCAAGACACTTAATTTTTTGTTTGGGCCTTTAGGGATCAGCCTTAATACTTTAATGTAGAATTTAGATTTGGGCTTGTATGGCTTCAAGAACTAAAATAAAATTTGTCTTCCTTTAATACCTTGAATTCTTTATTGAAAAGAGCCATGTTTGCAAGTTTATATTGCCCCTGACATTACATACAGTATTTTATTACAAAACTGAACATGATACTTTCCTGATACATTTTGTCTAAGGCTGACTTAGATAATTTGATAGCTTATTGTAAACTTCATAGAAAGTGACTTTTAATTGTAAAACAACTATTAACTTGTAAATCATGTTCTCCTATTGACATCATTTTAATCTATCAGCTAATAGAAATTATTATGCCATTTTTTACTTTTAATATTTCAGAAAAATATGCCCAAATTCAACAAAATTCCTTTCTACCTCCAACCTCATGCATCTTCAGGAGCAAAAACCTTAAAAAAGTAAGTAAATATACTGTCATGTGATGCTTTTACCTAATTAATTACCAGACAGGTTTTTTTCTTCCTTATTATTGCTTTTATAGCAAAGGAGGCAAGGACTGGGTGTAAGCCTAGTTTTATAATATCACTTTATACAGTTTAACCATTTACAAGTACCTGCTGTGGTAAGCTACAGATGTTCAAAACTAAGACATGGATTTTGTCTCCTGCCATATCTGTGCCCTACACTCTCCTATGGGAGAGTGACGGTGACCTCACCCTCCATTACTGACAGAAGTCCACTTGAGGGGCGGGTGACTGCTCCTGTGTATCCATGACAACTGCTTTTATGGATACGAAGAAATCATGAGTGTAGGGGAAAGAAATGAATTTTTGGAGCTTTCTAGAAAGGCTTCTCGCAGGACATGGAATTTGAGCTAGACATATAAGGCTGGATAGAATTTCCAGAGATATCCCAGGTCCAGGAGATGGTTTGATCAGGGATGTGGAAGTGGGAGCAGGCGCAAGAACTGGAAACTAGTGAGGGCCTCTGAGCTGCAGCCTAGGATGTGGGGATGGTGGGAAAATACGAGGGAAGTCGGAGAAGAAATTCATTGGTGCATATCCTAGCAAATGAAACCCACAAGACTTTAAAACCTTTTGTTGATGACTATTCCCAAACATACACAAAACAAAGAACAGGAGAAGGAACCCCCATTATCCCACCCACAGCTTCCAGTCATTCTCCACACACAGCCACACTTTGCTTCACCTGCTACTTCCTCCTACCCTCCCCCCATCCGCCTGCACTCACAGGAGCAAGTCCGAGATCTCACTTCACTAGATGTAAAGACCGTCAACTCAAGGTGCTTTCAGAGTCTGAGCCTGAGCCTACTTGGTTCGATTGTTAACTGACATCAGAGAAACTGGAGTAGGCGTGGGTGTGAGGCAGTGGATGAAACCAGATTTGGACATGCAGAGTGTGAGGTTCCTGGGAACAGCCAACAGGAGATACCCAGTCAGCTACTGGGCTTGTGGGTGTGGAGTGGGGGCAGGAGGTTGAGACTCAGGGTGTCAGCTGTAGGCAGACAGGCCCTGGGGGAACTGAGCCTGGGAGCCCAGGCCACCTTCCCTTCCGGAGCAGTTAGTGTGTCTGTTCTGGTGCCGCAGCACCCGGGCTTAAAGGGCACCACGGGATCGGTTGGCAATTCTAAAAGTGGCGTAAGGCAATGACTAAAAGGTGTATTGGTTTATGTTTCTGTTTCTGTGGTATGTTTTCACCTTTATAAAATGTTAACACCAAAGAATCTGGAAGAGATAATATCCAGTGACTTCCTGATATCTGCCCTTGCTTTTTCCAGAGATAGACTTTCTGCTAGCGACATGCTCCAAGTCCGGAAAGTAATGGAACATGTTTATGAGAAAATCATCAACTTGGATAATGAGTCTCAAACCACTAGCTCTTCTAATAATGAAAAACCTGGAGAACAGGAGAAAGAGGAGGATATCGCTGTGCTGGCAGAGGAGAAAATTGAACTTCTGTGCCAGGACCAGGCAAGTGGACTTGCGGACCGGAGCCCCACTTGGCCAGGGCCAGTGCTCGGACAGTGCCTTCACAGGGTCTGACTGTGGTTCCCAAGTCTGTTGCCTTTGGGGGGGCTTCTGGTTTTAAAGAGGCTCTAAGGAGCTCTGGGTATCTCCCAAGGAAAGGACAGGGTCACCTTGATGTGCAGAGCAGACGGTTGTTAGTTTAGGATGTGGAGGTGGGTGGAGCTGTTTTAAATTAAGATGCACTAAAGGCCTTCTCAGGGATGGCTTGAGACGGTGTCCAGCGCCCAGGGTTGTGCCTGTATGCGTGGCAGTCAGGTCCACAAGAGCAGGCCACCCCGCGGAGGCGGGGGGCGGGGGGGGGGGGGGAGAGAGCACTCTGGACCACCTGTGAGGGGCAGCAGTAAGGGCCTTAGCTATCAGAGGCTTTGACATTTCTAATTTATGCTTTGCTGTTCAGGTTTTGGATCCAAACATGGACCTTCGGACAGTGAAACACTTCATATGGAAGAGCGGTGGTGACCTCACCCTCCATTACCGACAGAAGTCCACGTGAGGGGCGGGCGGGCGAGCGCTCCAGAGTATCCATTTCCTGACCTTCCTCTGGCCCCGAGAGTAGTCCTAGGAGCCCACTGAGCCCAGTGGGAGCCAACTTCTCACGGCCGATTGGTATGGACAGATTCTCTCTCAACTGCAGTGACTAATGGAAATGTAACATAGAAACAGCCTCCCTGTGTAGAGTAAGCTGTCCCCAGGGAGGCAGAGTCCGAGAGCAGAGCCCCAGCCAACTGTCTCTCAAGGTGTACAGAGAACTGACTGGCCGGCGCAGGCCTGGCTTCCTCCTTTTCCGTCAAAGGACCTGATCTTCGCTAGCACTTGTTAGAGACACTTCCCGTAGGGCCTCACTGTCACCATGTTTCCACTCCGCACACGCTGTGCAGCTTTTCTAAGAGGACATTCCGCTCGTGCAGCACCTATGAAGGCTTTCTCCACGTTTGTCATTAAAAACAAATTGTTTTCCCATTTAAGACAGTTATTTTTCATAGGAACTTGCTGTTGCACAATTCGAGAGCCAGCCCATTTCATAATAAACGACTAGTGTTGGGCTTGTTTTTACTCCTGCACCTCAGCTGTGTTCCTGTAGATGGATCAGTGGAACCGCCAAGGGCTGGGCATAGCGCCTGGACCGCTGTGTCCCAGCAATGCCACATGACCCCAGTGCCCCGGACTGCCTGGCAGCCACAGGGTGGTGCAGCTTCCTCCTTCCTCCACTGTGTCCTTTATTTACGGGCAGTGCCGGGTGGCACCAGAGGCACTTGCTCTGGTGAGCAGCAAGGCACCATCAGAACTGCAGACCGTGGTGAAATTTTAACTTCGTTTAAAATGCTACCTAACGTGTACGGTGTCAGTGCAAGCATATCATGGGAGTCCATAGCCTGGAAATACACGTATTGTTTCCCAGAGTTTTATACGCAGGTTTTTGTTGTTGTACCTATATCCAGATTGCTTTTCACTGTTCTTTCTAACAATCTAAAGCTTTCATAGAACCATTTGGATCTTGTACAGAATATAACTTATTGGGGATAAACACTTCAACTTTTGGCATAAAAAAACACTTTGGATTCTCCCCAAGGTCATTTGTATTCAGACTAGAGCAATGGTCTGCCCGACCAGACTCCGTGAGACACGCCTCCTGTGTGGAGCCAGAAGCACAAGTGCCTTCAGAGGCAGTTCCTTCCAGTCCAGGGGCTCCCAGCTCGTGTGCGGCGGCGCCCACAGTGGCGGGGCCTGGGGGTGGCGGTGGGAGTTCCTTTTCTACATCTTCACGGGTTCAGCTGAAGGCAGCCGACGGGCCTGGTCCAGACCTTACTGTCGGAGACACTCGGATTCGCACAGCTGTAGGGACAGGCTCCCTCCCCGCAGGCAGCCTCCTCTGGGAAGCGGACAGGTCACTGCCGCTGGCTCTCTGAGGACGTGAGCCCCTTCCACCGAGCCTCCCCCCACGCAGAGCAGCCCACTTCTTTTGTACACAGCCCTTTCTATCCGTCGGATACAGCGGTGCACTTTTGCTGCACGTTTTTTAGCAATAGTCATGGATTCATGTCAGAGACACCACCAAGCTCATCGCCAGCCTGTTGTGTGCATGAGGGGCCCTTGGGCTAGAGGGATGGATTTGCCGCGGGGCCTTCTGGCCCTGTTCCCGAACCCCGAGGGCGGCTGTGCTCCCTTCCTCCATAGGCCTGACCCCGCATGGTTGTACTCTTTTCTTCCCGTCAAACCAGTAAGTCTCCAGAAAAGTTGACAGTCTGCAATGCCAAAAGGGTAAAAATCTGTATTTCACAGTTGTATAGAATAAAGGCTTTAGTTAAAATATTCAAAGCATAGTACATGTTTTATTTTTTCACTTGTCATTTTCCTTCAGAGCAGATGAGAGAGAAATTGAGAAACCTGGTTTTTCTGTTTATCCTGGAAATAATTAGCATTGATACCACTCTATCCTCCAACTTCAGAAGAGGCATGTGTAAAGCGAGGAAGAACCAGAACCCTCAGGGGGCCAGGCTACAGCGCAGGGTCCCTGCCCTCGGCCAGTCCCTGGTGCCTGTTCTCCCTGCAGGTCTGCAGCAGCGCTGGGCTCCCAGGCCGCCCAGGAGCAGGCCCCGGCTGGCCTTGCAGCCAGGCCTCCTGCTCGGCACGGACAGGGCTCGCTGTCCGTGCGGCCAGAGTGCTAGACACTTAGTGTTCGCTAATTGGGGCCTCCCTCCATACACTCGGCTTGTGCCGCCTCCGGCTGATAGTCCTTGTGCTACAGCTAACGACTCTGAATTTCCTTGTACATGCGGACATCACAAATCAAGCAGCAGCGGGGGATGCATAGTGGACAGACACTAGAGGAGAAGGCCAGAGGCAGCCATCATGGTAACCAGCAGGGAGTGTGGGAAGGCAAGGGGCTCTGGTCTGGGCAGGTGAGGACCCCATCCCTGGGGGAGCCCTCTTCCTGCAGGACAGAGCGCAGACCCATGCGTGCCTTATCCTCCCAAGGCATACACATACACACACACACACACACACACACACTCGCCCAGACATGCTACGGGAAAGAACAGAAGGGCCCTCACCCACTTGCCCTGGCCTCTCACTTCCCCTTGTGGTGGGAGCTGTGTGTAAAGAGATCTAGTCAGGACCAGCTTTGAGAGGGTGCTTACGAAGGTCAATTTAAATGTGTAACCTGTTCACCACTGGGGCTGGCTGGTGCCGTGTGTATGCAGAAAGGATTGTTGTGTAAGTCTGGGGATACTAGGTCTATGGGGAGTCAGCCCTGGGGAAGAAGAAACGTCATGATCTAAGCACAGGTAAGTGTCTGCGGAAGGTTCCAGAATTTCCAACCCTCCTCTCCCATGAGAGGTGGGCCAGTTCCAGCTGTGACTGGCAGGTGTCGGTCAGCCTGAGCCGGCACAGGGATGGGGGCACATGACAGAAGAGGCAGTAACTGAGGCTTCAAGGGTCCCCAGGGTTTGGGGTGCCTTCCAGTAGGTAGCGCTGGCTCGGCTGTACAGGAAGCATCAAGGCAAGCTCTGCAAAGCTGTCAGGCAAACACCACACCGGCCCCTTCCCCTCCTCACCCCACTGCCACACCAGATCAGTCTGGACCCCGCTGCTTCCTGGGAGCAAGCACTGGGCCTCGGCGTACACAGCCAAGACGCCTTTCCCAAGGCCCACGTCTCCCCTCCCCACCAGCAAGGCTCCCTGTGCCACCCGTGCAGCAAAGAAGCCTTTCCTCTCCTACCCCAGCTCCCCAGCTCCCCACCACCCCAAAAGCATGTGCTTAAGATTCTCAAACAAGGGCTCCATTCCCCAAAGCCAGGACCACCACACAGAGTGCAGGTAGGTCATCTCTTGGAAACCAGTAGGGTGAGTGGACACGAGCCCCCCACCTGCAGAAGTCCCTGCCCATGACTCGGAGCCACAGCCTGAGCTACCTCCCACACCTGGACCTCAGGACATGCCATCAGGGGCCTTGCCGTTGCCCAGGGTGTTGTTCGGGGGTAGCGAGCTGGGCCTGGCTGGCTGCCTCGGCTTCCGCCCTGAGACCCGGACTTGCTGTGCTTGCCGGCTCCTCTTCGGCCTGAGCTTCGAGCAGCTCGGCAGACAGCCCGTCCTCTGGCGAGGCTGCGGAGGTGAGGCTGTCGGGAAGGGTCAGTTGGGGCAGGTGGTCCTGCTGGGCCTGGGCACCGGGGCTGTCCGGGAAGGAGACCTCAAACTCTGATCCAGACCACGTGGCCTCACCTGAAACACACAGGATGGGGCTCAGGAGGCCTGCAGGACCCGGGGCCAGTGTGCTGGGGGCAGTAACCTCACTGACCTCCAAACCTCACCCCAGACACTGAGGGGGAAGAGAGAGCCAGAGAACAAACACCTGGACGTGGCTGGATTCCTCCCAAACGCCGGCCTCTGACCGACTGCGAAATGGGGCATTTTCCCAGAGGCCTCTGCAGGCGCCCGCCACTCACCGGCACGCTCGTGAGAGCCACTGCTGGAGCAGACGTCCTCCAGCCCTGCGGCTGGCATGGCGGCAGAGGGCAGCTCGGGGAAGGAGGGCGGGCCGGGCCAGACGCTGGCACTGCTGTCCAAGAGGGCGATGCCCGACACATCCAGGAAGCCTAGGGCATGGGGCACAGCTCTTTGTTAGCACAAGACCCTGCCTGCTGAAGGCTGGTGCCCTGGCTCACTCTGCCCCGTTCCTGGGGCATCTGCTCAGCCCGAGACTAATCTCAGCCTGTGGTGATGCCCTAACCCCAACCCAAAGGTTCCCCTCCCCCCCAACTGCTTGTTTCTCAGGAAAGAAACGGGCCTGGCATTGGGCATCATGGGAGAAGCACAGTGGCAGAAGGACCAGGCCCTGCTCTGTCCCCAATTCACTGTGACTTTGAGCAGGCCACCTCTCTCCTCTGGACAGCAGTCTCCCCGTCTGCACGCTGTTTGTGGTCACTTGCAAACATCCTGGCACAGGGCAGGGGTCAGTAGGTCTGAGGAAGGTTTTGGTACCGTCGCCAAAGTCCGGGCCTGAGCCTGGGGCCCATTTGGGCACCAGGGGTTGCAGGGGCCTAGCCACCTTGCCGGGCCCGCTCGCTACCTGGGTCCATGACCCGCTGCACCGGAGGTGGCGGCTGCAGAGGCGTCTCCATGGGCCGGGGCGGTTCCCCACGGTCAGGCACAGCATAGCCGAGATGTCCGGGCTCGGGAAGCGGGCCCTCTACGGAGGAGCCGGGTGCCTGCAGCAGGGCCTGGGGGAGCCGGGAAAGAAGGCACAGGGAGAGGGCCGTTGGGACGGTGTGGTCCAGCTTCACCCCCAGCCCCCACGTGCCCCAGTAGCATTGCTCTGCCTGAAGGTCCCTCTCTGTGGGTGACGTGAAGTCAGACAGGGGCCTGGCTGGCCTCCCTGGCAGGGCTGACACAGAGAGGGAGCACTCCTGCCACTCCGCTGAGGAGCCCAGGTGCCGAGCGGGCTGCGCCCCGCCAATGACCCAAAGGGCCTCCCTGAATCCCAGCTGCTCGGGAAACGGTCCTCCCATGCCCCAGGCACAGATCCCCGGCACCGGCCATGCCTAAAGGCCTTCGGGGGACCTGCCCAACAGCCATGAGGACAAGACCGGCACTCTCCGGCAGGCATGGCTGGACCACCAGCCCGGCCGGGGCTCTGGATGCCCAGCCTCTGGCCCGACATGACCACAGACTCACTGAGGCCCAGGGCAAGGCTCCGCCCACCCGGGCCTGTTTCCCACTCATAACACATAAACGACCGCTAGTGCCTTGCCACTGCCCTCACCTCCCGACCTCAGGGGCAGGAGAACCAGAGCGGGTCTCATTGTCCCAGAACGGGCCCGCCTGCTCCCACTGGGTCCCACAAGCAGGGGGGCCTAGGCCTCCAGAACCCTCTCTTCCTTCTGCCCACGGAAGCTCCCCTCATCCCCTAGTGGGCAGGTGTTCCCCACATACCTCCAAGTAGTCACCCTGCCTGGAACCCATCTCTGGGCCAGGAGGGGCAGGCGAGTCCAGGGGGATGGTTCCAGATGGCAGGGCACCAGATGGTAGGGCACCAGGTGGCAGAGTACCAGGTGGTGGGGTACCAGGTGGCAGAGTACCAGGTGGCAAGGCACCAGGTGGTGAGGTACCAGGTGGCGGGTTATCAGATGGCGGGGCACCAGGTGGTGGGGTACCAGGTGGCAGAGTACCAGGTGGTGAGGTACCAGGTGGTGGGGTGCCGGGTGGCGGGGCACCAGGTGGCTTCTTGTGGTAGCTGGGGGGCTGGATTGGGATCCGATGCAGATACCCGTAGCCGATACCACACCCCAGACTGCCGAAGTCCAGAAACATTCAATCCAGGAGCTGTCTCACAGCCTTTCCTATCTCTGCCCCCCACCCCCCGCCACCCATCAATGGCAAGTGAGGGGGCTAAAAGGATGCACCCTGGTCCATGGTCAGCCTCAGGATCCCTAAACCAGGGCCCAGCCCTCCAACCCCCAACCATGAGACTCTGGGGTCCATGCCCATCAGCCAGGCCCACCCAGGGCCCCACCAGGACCCCACCCTACAGCCCTCCGCCCCCCGGAAGTACCTGCCCTCTCCACCCCAGGCCGCGTTGGGAGTTACGGACACCTCCCGGCAGGAGTCGGACTCGGAGTTATAAACCATCAGCTTCAAGGGCTTCCCCTCGTGGGACTCGATGAGAGTGAAGAAGTCCTCAGACTGGGACAAACACACAGGCCTGAGCCCCGGCCCCACGCTCTCGCGGCACCCACATCGCCACACCCACTGGGGTCTGCGGAGGGCGGGGCCTCGGGTTCCTCACCTCCTGCAGGAGCTGGTCTGAGCCAATCACATAGTCTGTGTAGGGGCACAGGCCAGCAAGGGAGGCGGGCGAAGAGGGTTCCACATCCTGGGGAAAGAATGGAGAACCGTCACCTCACGACTGGAGCGGAGGAGGGGTGAGGGGTCGGGAGCCGTCTCTCCAGGCAGTCTGTAGGACACTCGCCCTCCGTCCCCAGGCCAAGGCCTCCAGGCCAGACTCTCCCACCCTACCCCCCAATTCCCCCCGTCCCCCGGGGCCACAGCCTACCCAGCAGAGGGCAGTGCCGTGGCATGGCTCACAGCACTGAGCTCTGGCATCTGGCCTGGGTTCAACTCCTGACTCCACCAACTGCTAGCTGGGTGACTGGACAAATACTGAACCCCTGAGCCAGGTTCCCAACCATGAAAACCATGGCACGCAGTGCTTACTCACAGGGTTGCTGAGAAGATTTTTGAAATAATAGATGTAAAGAATGAAAACCACACTTTGGCCCACAGTAAGTGCCCAACTGCATGGCCGTTAAGACCCCTGGGTAGGGGATGGAGGCGAGGGCAGTCATATGGCTAACAAGAGGTGAGGCACAGCCGAAACCAGTTTGGCTCAGTGGCTAAAGCGTCGGCCTGCGGACTGAAAGGTCCCGGGTTCGATTCCGGTCTAGGGCATGTACCTTGGTTGCGGGCACATCCCCAGTAGGGGGTGTGCAAGTGGCAGCTGATCAATGACTCTCTCTCATTGATGTTTCTAACTCTCTATCCCTCTCTCTTCCTCTCTGTAAAAAAAAAATCAATAAATATATATTTATATATAAAATTAAAAAAAGAGGCGAGGCACCGCATGCAGGTAGAGAGCTGCCCTCTCTGGACACTGGGGTGAGTGAGACCCTGCCCTTAGGGAGTCCTCGAACAGTCCATCTGGCTCCAGGCCCTGTCCCAGTTGCCCCCACACCCTGCTCCCTCCCCTCAGATGCCCCCCAAACGCCCTCATGTGTTCTGGCCCCACCACCTTCCCCTGCAGAGATTGGCCTGGGGCCTGAACGCCCCACTCATTGCCCCCCCCCACTCATCGCCCGCCCCCCCAACCCCCACTCACCAGCACATGCCACACGTGCTCACTGGCCCTGTGGAAGCTGCAGAAGCGCACGCTGGCGCCCAGCAGGCCCGGGCCGCCCCACATGTTGCTGGGCACCACCTCCACCTCGCGCACCCGCATGGTCTTCATGTTGAACACCTCCAGCTTCACCGGCTTCTCCACGTTGGCCTTCAGCAGGTCCCGCAGCATGTCCGTCTCCTTGTTCTAGGGAGGCAGGGGGACCCCACACCCCATCCGGCCGCTCAGACAAGCCTGGGTCTGAGGTGGGGCAAGGGCCTTGGTGGCCAGCTGCCCCAGCAGGCCTGGTGTGGGATGACCGCACCCCCCCACACACACACACTCCCATCCCACCCCACCCCCCACCCCCCGCAAGTAGTGCTAAATCTGCCTCCCTCCACTCCCCCTCTGCCCCAGAGAGCACAAACTCATCACAGAGCCTCCTGGCTCAGGCCACTGCAGGTTGTCCCACTGTGAGCTGCCCCTTGGCGAGAGACCTCACCTCTCTCATGCCCCCAGAGGTGGGCCCCTTAGGCCTGTGGCCCCCTCCAAGCGTCCATTAGCCTCCAGTCCACCCCAGAGAGCTCAGAAGCTGAGCTGGGCAAAGCCTCCCTCCAGAAGAGAAGGGAGAGGGGAGCTGGGCTGGAGCCTCCTTTGGGACATACGAGACATACACACATACACACATACACACATATGCACGCATGCACACGCACACGCGCGCACACACAGCAAAGCTCACCAGCCTTGAGTGCCCGATGGTGATGATGAAGTCAAAGTAGGGCTCCAGGCCTGCCTGCTGGGCGGGGGAGTTCTCCTGCACCTGTGCCAGGGCAGAGGCCGGTCACTGAGCCCGCCCCGGGGCTTCCAAGAAGCCCCAGCCCTCAATGTCAGACACCACCCCCCCACCCCCCACCCCGCATGTCCCAGCGGGGAAACGGGCGCTGGAATGAACTGTTCCGGGCAGGCCACCCGTGGGCATGGTTAAAGGTGACCTCCCTCCTCCCTCACCACCTTCCCGGGCACACATTATTCCTCTTTAGGAAAATAGCTCTTCCCTGACCATGATCCACAGACCATGCTCCTAAAGCCAGGCCACCTGGCACCTGCCCACGACTGCTGCCCTCCACCATGGAGAAGGTCCGGAGGCTCAGGCCCCGGGTCTCCAGGCCCAGCCCCCTCCCAGCCTCCCAGAGCCTCTGCCTACCCTCTCTCCAGTGGCCTTGTGCTGCTGGGCTGGCTGTACTGACTGCCCTGGCCCTGGGCCTGGTCACTGACCACTATGGCTCTCCAGAGGGAATGGTCTGTGCTGCTGCCCAGCACACCCCCACTCCGGCAGCAAGCATGGCCCTCTGACTGGCTTTCCCTTGGAGGGTTCCCATCACGTCCAACCCTCCAGCCCCCCCCACCCACCCACAGAGCCTCCCATCACAGCACAGAGACCATGCAACAGCCAGGCACACCAACCTGACAAGCTTGCACCGCTCTCCGCAGCCATGCACGCTGCACAAGGAAACGGGGTCCTTCCCCGGTGAGTCGGAGCTCCCCTCTCCCCCACTCCCCCCCTAGTCTGCTCACCTCCGTTACCACCCCTCCTTCTCTAAAGAACAAATCTCCACCCCAAATCCCCACGGGGCTACGGGACCCTCCAGACCCGCCGCGATCTTTTGCCCTGGAACCCTCCCCTGCTGCAAACGCTGTCCCCTTGTCTGTAGCGTCTGCAGCGGGTCCTTCCGCTCCCCCTTCCCCTGGCTGGTCAGCACTGGTCCTTGAGCCCCAGAAGCCTTTCCGACCCCCGGATGGGGGGGGGCCGGCGTGTAGGCCCGCTAGCCCCCCGGCAGCTGTCGTCCACCTGGTTTTCCCGACCCGCGGACTCAAGAGCCGGAACAGGGTCCCAGGTCCAGCACCGGGCGCGGCACCCAGCGGGCAATCACACATGTGATCCGCATGTACCGACGGGTCCCGACGACGCCTGGAGCTGCTGCAACATTCGCCCGGGAGCAGGGCTATTCCTGGCGGCCCGAGCGGACCAGGAAGCGCTCCGCTTCCTGCACAGCTGGCACCGCGACGGGCGCCGGGGCTGGCACCGGGGCGGGCTGGGCCTACCGCGGCCGCAGACGGGCCGGGGGCCGCCTCCCGCGGGCCGCTCCCCTAGGCAAGGGGGCCTCCCCCTCCCTCCACCCGGACCCTCGCCTCCGCCGCCCCGGGGCCGGCGCTCAGGCGTCCGGGCGCATCGGTCGGGGTGGACGCTCGGCCCCGGCCGCCGGCCCCGAGAGCCACTCACCCCGTGCAGGTGGAAGCCCTCGGAGGTCTCCGCCGGCTGCTCGGTGCTGGAGCCCAGCCCCATGGCAGCGGGCGGCCCGGCTCCGGCGCCAGCGGCCCCGAACGCAGCGCGGACCCCGTGCCACCGGCGCCCACTCGCCCGCTCGGCGCTCAATTACCAGCGCCTAGTCACGTGGGCTGCGCGCCACGCCCACCCCGGTTCTGACGCGCCTAGCAACCGGCCGGCGGCGCCGTCTCCAAGGACGCGCGCGCCTCCAGCGGCGGGCGGTTAGCGGCGCGCCCAGGACCCCGATTCCGGGAATCAATCGGCCCCGCTCCGCGCCGCCAGGCCCGGACCCCGAGCCGTTAGCGAGCGGAGATGAACAGCAATGACTCCTCCCTGATGGTGCGTGGCCCGGGCGCCGCCGGCCACTCCCTTGGGGACTCTCTGCCCGGTGACCCCCGAGTCCTGCCGCTCTCCTGCCACCTCTCTACCCGCTCCTGCCCTCCCCTTGACCCGCGCTTCGCTGTCTCCCGCTGCTCCTGGGGGTCCTGACCCTTTCTCTCGCTTCACTCTCCCTGGAGAGGGCGGCATCCCCTCTGGTGCTTTCTGTGCAAATCGGAAATCATTGATGTTTCCCCATCAATCCCCACCCAGTCCTGTCCCCAGGCTCCCCTAACCCATCTCCATCATCTTGCCATCGGCTCCCCTTTCCCTGCCTGTGCCTCTTCCGTGTCCCCGGCCTCAGTAGGTGGCACCACCATTTGATCCCTCATACCCATCCCCTAATCCTATATATCAGCAAGAAACCTCCACTCCTAAATATCTCCTGAGGTCACCCATTTTTACCTCGGAACCCTGGGTCACCACCACCTTTTTCACCAGGCGTCTATAACAGTCCCCCACCCAACTGGTTTCTCTGCTTCAGCTCTTTGCTCCAGCCAGCTTCCCTATCCAACCCAACCCTCCTCCACCCCCCACCCCCCAAACACACACACACAGCCTCCAGAGTGGATTTTGCAAAAACGCACATCTGAATATGCCCCTCTCCCCTGCTTACAACCATTCCCGCTGCTTCCTATTATCCTCAGGATGATGTCTGGGCGTTTCATAAGGCCCACAAGGCCGCTACAATCCAACCACATCTGCCTCCCACCCCAGCACCCACAAACCTTAGGGGAAGTGAGACTTGCTTTGAACTCTGCCTGTTACTGAGTGACTTTTGTCAAGCCACAGTCACCGTGGCCTTCGGCTTTCTTAACTGGGAAGGCCAGGGAGAGGATAATGCAGCAGAGAATGGGTGGAAAGCCCTGGGTACAGACTCCGGAGGGGGTCAGCCCACAACGAGCTGTAACTGACTCCTGATGCAATTATTCTTATTTATCGGTCCACTCTCTTTCCCCCGAGTTCCTTCCTAAGACAGCTCGAGTTGAATCTTCCACCTCTGAACTGGGATTCTGTAGATAATTCCACAACCGACACCTCCAGGCTCCTTCCTGGGGCAGCTGCGTGGAGTTGCTCCTGGGCCTGGCGAACAGGATGAGGCTGGGAACGTCTCTCTCTCTTTCCTTCACGGAACGGAGGAGGAGGAGGAGGAGGAGGAGGAGGAGGAGGAGGAAGAGGAGGAGGAGGAGGAGGAGGGACCAGGGGAGGGAGAGGTCAGAACAGAGACAGACAAGGGCTGTTGCCGGTGGTGTCTTCCCTCCCCACAGGCTGGGATCATCTACTACAGCCAGGAAAAGTACTTCCGCCACGTGCAGCAGGCTGCGGCCACGGGCCTGGAAAAATTCAGCAATGACCCTGTGCTGCAGTTCTTCAAAGCCTACGGGGCCTTCAGGGAAGGTAAGGACTCATCATCGGTGGCCTCCTGGCCTGGGCACCAGCCCAGCAACTACCACGGACTCCACCCAGGTGCCCACTCTTACCCCAGTCATGACTACAGTCTTACACTCGGAGCCTAGGCCCCCAGGCCTGTCCTCAGAAGCCTGTGCCACCCGTATGCAGCTGACTGTGAGGCCTCAGAGGCCTCGCCACTACTGCCCTGCACCTCCCTTTCCCTGCCTGGACTATGGGCAGGAAGAGAAACAACTGCATGATTATTGAACGGACCCCGAGGTTGGAAGTGAGAGCTGATGATGCAGGAAAAGGAGGGAGGGGTGGGGGCGGGTACCAGCAGGCATGGCACAGGAGCAGGGGGAGGCGTGGGGCTCATACAGGTGCTGACTCGGACCCTCAGAAGGACCCTGGGCTAGGGACATGCCTGAACCACCCATGGCCAGCTTCAGGAGACGTGGAGAGATACATGCAGCTGTTGGCTCTTGTGCAACTAACTAGAAATGCCCCGAGGTTCTTTTTCCTGAACTGTCCTGAGGTGAACGTCTCAACCTCCCAGGGACCCCTCGTGTACTCACGGGCACACCCTGGCAGTCTGGACCACGGTGCCAGCAGCCTTTTCAAGAAGCTTCCGGTCTTCAGGGACCTCAGGCCATTGGGGACCTTTTGTATCAGTTAGTCCTCTGATCCCGGGGAAAGCCAGGCACTGCCAAGCCTCAGGTCAGCCCTAATGAGGATCCCCGTGTGCTTGCCATGGAGCCTTCTGCCCTCTGGGCCCGGAGCCCAAAGATTAGCCACGTGGTGTGGTGTCTCTCTCTCTCTCTCTCTCTCTCTCTCTCTCTCTCTCTCTCTCTCTCTCTCTCGGCAGAGCACATCCAGGATGCCATCAGCAGCCTGGAGAGCCTCCGGAACCACCCAGATGTGTCCCTGTGCTCTATCATGGCCCTCATCTGCGCTCACAAGTGCTGCAAAACCATCGGTGAGTGCAGCTGTGCCCCGCCGGGCCTGGCCCTGCTCCGGGAGACATCCCCTCAAGGGCTGCAGGAGGAAGGACCTGCCCTGGTGGCCGCAGGTTCTGTTGGCCTGGGAGGAGTGGCTGCTGTCCCCTTTCCCTGCAAAGGCTTCCAAGAAAACCTCGTGCCCAGGCCCAACGGAGGGGGAGCCGTGGGCAGAGAGCATAACAGTGCGAGGGGCCCTCCATCCAGACCCCAAGAGATGGGGAGACACCTCACTCTCCTTCGCCAAGATGTTGTCAGGAAAAATCAAACTGATACAAATAATTCCACTTCCCCAGAGAGGTTCCGAGAGACCACAAACGACCATTTCCCCTCCCAGAATGAACGGTGCGCCTGAGGTGAAGGAGTCGGCTTTGGTCCGTCTGCTCAGCATACTGCTGGGCACGGAGGAGAAAAGACAGCAAAGCCCAGGTCCAGGCCCGGGCGGCTCCCGGGGCACCACGGGGCCAGTGAGCCTCGTGTCCAGCCCCGGGGCTGGTGTGTCATTGGCTCCATGTGAGCCCCAGAGCTTCCAGAGGCAGCCACCAGGATCCCTCAGTGCCCCCCTCTTGGGACCAGGCACACCCCCTCTTCCTCTTCTCTCCTCTTCCTCCTCCTCCTCTCTCGGATTCACAGACCAAGAAGCCATTCAGGAGCTGGAGAGCAGCCTGAAGGAAATGCGCAAGACGGCCAGCTGGATTGCCCTGTACTACGCCGGCCTCTTCCTCTGGCTCATGGGCCGCCACGACAAGGCCAAGGAGTACATCGACCGCATGCTGCAGCTGTCCAACAGCGCCAGAGAGGTACCCGCCGCGGGCATCCATCACCAGGGCAACCGACCGAGAAGGCAGCGTCCCAGCACAGCAGAGCAGAGCGGAGTGGCCATGACTCCCACGGACGGCCATGGGGTGGGGGGAGGGCCCCAGCCCGGCACTGCCAAGACAAGACCCCGGGTCTCCAAGTGACCCCACCGGCGTTGCCTCAGGGCTCAGTCCGGTACAAGCTGGCATTTGTCCAGAGTCCCATCTGCAGACGGGTGTCCCGTGGCCTGCACTATGTTCTGAAAATCTTGAATTCATTGCTGACGTTTAGAAATCAGAAGGTTTTTGCCTAAAAGTCCAGATGTCGTGTGTTTAAAAAAAAAAAAAAAAAAAAAAAAAAAACTGGAGGAACCAGCTGCCCTGGGCCTGCGTGTCCTCCTGGCGGTGATCTGCTGGGTAGCAGGGGCCGCTCAGACACCAGAGACCTCCCAGGCACAGAGCGGCACTGAGAGCAGACCTTGTGGCCTCAGCCAGGGGCCCTGCATTCTCAGCAGGGGAGATATCGCCCCCTACCGGCTGGAAAGTGGTTCTGGGAGAGGGGGTGAAAAAACGGGCTGTGTATAAAACACAGGTGTACGTACAGCACGTATCACAGTGTATCTGTCAGAGTTGAGAACCAGTCTGGGCCACGAGGGAGACTCCAGGGCGGGCCCTCCCTAGGGGTCCTCCGGTCCTCCCGTCCTCCCTGCCTGCCCCATCTGCCAGGAGAAGCTGGGCGAAGGCTGGAGAGGAGCCAGCAAGGCCGGTGAGCTCAGAATGGCTCCCGCTCGCCTGCTCGGTGCAGAGAGCTGGAGCGACCCCATGTTGGCCTCCGGAGCACAGTGTTAACTAAGCAGGCACTGACAGGAGGGGTGAGAGTGCCTCAGCAAGAGAGCTGGGGGGTCCAGGGAGGGCCTGGAAGGTCAAGGAAAGCCAAGACTGAGTTTTGTTTTGTTTTTAAATATATATTTTATTGAATTTTTTTTTTATATATATAGAGAGGAAGGGAAAGGGATAGAGAAACATCGATTAGAGAGAATCATCGATCAGCTGCCTCCTGCACACCCACCACCGGGGATGTGCCCGCAACCAAAGTACATGCCTTTGACCGGAATCGAACCTGGGACCTCCCTTCAGTCCGCAGGCCAATGCTCTATCCAGTGAGCCAAACTAGCCAGGGCTAGACTGTGTCTTAGAGACTAGTGGTAGTTAACCAGGGAAGATGTTTTGGTTCGGGGGACATGTGCTGAGCAGGGCGTTGCAGGTAAGGGGACAGTAGGGACAAAGGAAGGCCTGGCTGTGAGAGAGAGCAGGGCCGCCCCGGGATCCGCATGCCGTGGTGCCCGGCAGGGCCGCAGGTGTGCAGTGACGCCCGGTGGGACGGGAGGCAGGAGGCACGGGCTGGCCCCAGACTCTGCAAGACCAGGGACCTCATCTCTCCTCCTCTTCTCACCCC